TGTAGTTCGATTAGCAAACTAGCATCTTCAAACGGCTGGACCTTGTGCGAGTTAGCGCAGAACTCTATAGAACACAATACAAGGTACGGTGTTACTACCATACTTTATCGTGGGATACAGAAAGAAGGGAGTATGGGGTTGGGTAACCCTCCAACATTTCTGGAATTGACTGTTCGAAAAATTCGGAAAACCCGTTTTATTGACCTTTTTGAAAGCGTATACAACATATACCTAATTAATGCATGGTATAAATTTTTAAATATGCCGGTAAGTTCTTTGAGTAAATCATGATAAAGCGACTCAAAAAACATTGCAATGAAAAGAGTCACTACTTTGTGGCATTTGTCACTATACATGACGAATTTTTCATCACTCCGTATACTTACAATACTACGAAAATATGAAAACGTTTCGATAAAGGAAAATATCAAACACTGCGGTTGCGGTTCGGTCGTGGTTTAACCGAGGTTTGTCCTAGGTTAACTGCGGTTTTTATTGGGTTATTCAGTTCTGGACTACACTGTATATCTATAACGTATAGATTTGATTACTATACAAGGTAACTCAAAAAACAAAAAGCTATTGAAAATACTGGTAACAATATGTAACTATATAATAGTTGAGTTCGAATATCTGAGCATGCACTTAATTTGTTGGGACCAACAAGTGTATGAATGTTTGACATAAGCATTTTAATGTGTGATGACAGAAAAATTTGTCAGTACGCACAAACGATGTTTATTAAAAATATTTACAATTTACAATTCAAGCCACCGTGACCTTCGACGTGCATGCTCCCCATCTCTTTACAAATCATTTGCTGCCCTATTTTCGCATTTAGCATTTTATAAGCTGCACTAAATCCCCACAGGCAAAAATTCAAGAACAGTTCATTCAAATTTTAACAATGAGTGCGGCATAATTTCAATATAGCTTCGTTTTTTTGAGTCACGCTGTGAATACGGTGACCGTCTGAAATTCTGCAAAGGCTTTAATGCATTGTCTACAGGTGGCTACATGTTAATTCTCTTTAAGTTAATCAGTCATTTATTGACGAAAATCTTACTGCTCCTCTTGCATGAAAATTTGCCCGGCTGCATGTGCCAAATTTTTGGAATCGATAGATTTGATGACTGCATGCAACCCTATATTCACCAATTCCTATTAGATTTAAATAATTATACAATATATGTATATACTTATTATTCTATTGGGGTCATTTATTGAAAAATCTGACAATAGTGGCAACAAAATAACATGTTGTTAATGTGGTAGCAAGCCGAAGCACGAAGAGAAATGGCTTGGATAAAAAAGGATAAATATTATATGCATGGCTAGCTTTTCGTTAAACCGGCGTCCCGAAATTTTCATAATTTTTATTAAACCCATGCAGGCAATAAAAAAATTAGTACGTCTTTGCTAGTTGTTTTCGGTTAATGCATGTCCAATAAGGTGGTTCCATAGCAATTAAGCAGATAAAAAGGATGAAATTAACTTTCAACTTCTTGAACAATAAAAACAGATTATTTCATGAGATCTTTCACGATTCTTGACGAATTAAATTTTTTGCTCTACGCCCAGAAAGGAAAGCTCTGGCCAGATAGTGTGCCAAATAATAGGGCAATTTTAGTCTACATATAATTGGACAAATTCGCAACAAATAAATTAAATAAATAAACTGTTTGTCTTTTAGACAACGTATTTTTCATAAAAACTGCTTCTCGACAATATGGATTCCGTTGGGACGCATTTGATCGCTTCATTAAAATGAGTATACACGCGATTAAGAAGATCCATAATGATTCTTTCCAGGCTTTAGACATCTTTCTTACATTTATATCTCAAAGATTTAGCAAGGAAAACGTTTTAGAATAACACTGAACTGGCTCGCGGAGATTTAAGCGCCAAATGAACGTGTTCCAGGTCCCACGAGCGTAATGAATAAAAATTGGGTTAAATCACGTGGTTGAATAAAGGTATATCACTAAGATACAAGAAATCAATAATTAAGAAAACTATAGAATATTCATAATTATTTGCCCTTCTCAAGCTATACCGACAGAGACGCGGTGGGCGGTGGCCTGCCAAATATTAGCATAGTATTGTTAGAATACGAATAAACCGCGCTATATGCAAGGCTGGCGAGCTCTTTGACTTTGTTTGATGTTTTCGTTGATCGAACGTTTTCATATTTTCATAGTATTGTACATGCATTAGGAGTCATGAAAAATTCATCATCTGCGACAAATAGGACAAATCAGTTATTGTCGACTTCACACGAGGTTTCAAAAAGGGGTGGCGAAGTTCGCCAATAGGTTTCGAATGTTCGAAGTTCAGAACGAACTTTGAAGGTCAAGCGAAAGTCAGCCATCTGATGTACCCGCATTGACCGGGCTGCCTATATATATGGCCAAGCTCGTAAATTTGAGTCCCGAAGCATTAAAGTGCCTATATCACTCGTGGGATCTTTGAAAAGAACGTAAAAAGTTAGTTAATATATTAAAAAACGTTTTTTGATTTAGTGCAATAATTTCGAAGATACAAGCCTCCTAAACTACCTGCCGTTCCTGAGTCCCAACCTCCTGGGTTTAAACACGGCTATTCAATTTGAAACTGCCCATTGTTTACAGGAGCCTGGGACTCAGGAACCTAGTATTTCAAAATTGTTGCACTAAATCAAAAAACTTTTTTAATATATTAACTAACTTTTTACATTCTTTTCAAATGCATAAAGATTCCACGAGTGATATAGGCACCTTAAAATATACTGTAAACTCCGACTTATATATAGCCTATATATCAACGTAAATGCATACAATGAGACCATTTCAAATGAAAACAAAACTGTTTTAGTAGTAGTAGGTGGATTAAGTTCTGTTTGAAAAGGTATTTCCAAATTGTTTATGAACTTGACCTTCGAAGTTTGTTTTGAACTTCGAAACATTCGAAACATTCGAAACGTAATTGCGAACTTCGCAGCGAATTTCGCAACCGCACTTTAAAAAGTTATGAGAAATCGACAATAACGACTCTCTCTATTGGTATTTTTTGAGTCACTTTATCATGATTCTTAAGAACTTCCAGCTGATCTGGGTATAAAAATCAACCAATCAAAAGCCAGATCTTCGACAAAACTGAATTATCATTTCCTTCATTGCATATGACTTCGACACTCGAAAATATCAAGTAATTTTATTATATTTATGTAAAAACACGTTTATTTTTTCTCAACTGTAAATTAGAATTAAAATTTTTTGCTCTTTATACTATTATTCAGAAGAATAAGGACAAATAACACCAGGCGTATGATAACTCAATTATGTTGAGACGCCTTATGACGTCATGATCTCATATCAGCTGGTTGCCTGCATATTTAATACCATGCAGTATTTTCTGACTGATCGAGCTAGTAAATTTTTACCGAAAGATCGGATGAAGTTGTTCACGTTATTTTCTCCGCCTCTGTAATCTATGTTTAGGTAGTCTTTTATAGGATATTGCGAGTTGCAATTGACGAAAAGTCAGATATTATGTTTTGTCTATATATGTCAGAATAGTCTTGAATATTTAGTCATTAAATCAGGTTTACCTCAGTGAACTCCATATATATATATATATATATATATATAATATATATATATATTATATATATATATATATATATATATATAATATATATATAAATATATATATATATATATATATATGGAATGATAACTGTGGCCGATTAAGTAAAGCCACGACAAACGACACGTCATTGCATTCGTCATCATGTCGGACATAGTCTCCCGCGCGGTTATTACTCATTTGTTGTTTGTGTTCGCAGAGTGCATTTCAGTTTTTCAAAAGAGTTTTTCAACTTATAACGTGAATTATGACTTCCATCATATGTTGAATGGTATTTTGATGTTGATTTTAATGCTGAAATAATTTATTATTGTTGGGAAATTGAAATAAATAGTATAATGGACGACTTGCGCTTTAGACTAATTTCTTATGTCATCGATAAAAAGCACATTTTCTAAAAGATCTTACTAAAATTATTTAAACAGCCAAGTTTGGTTGCAAATTGTTGTAAATTATGGAAAATATAGCCATGCGGTATTCACGAATTTTGACTTTTGTAGACTTTTGTATTACGGCCGGAAGTGTGTAACTAAATTAGTTACGCATTTCCGCACTTAATATTAAAGTATAGAAAATTTGCCAAATTCGCATGGCTATATTTTCCGTATGTCTTAAAAAATTTCGCACACCAAACTTTACATTTACAATAATTTAGGTAAGATCTTTCTAGCTGTGATGATTTTGTTTTCGATCAAAAATTAGTCTAAAGCACAAGTCGTCCATTAAATGACAAAGTTCGAATAACAATACAAAAAATATATGCCCAGCATTACTTTTAATAACCTAATACAAAATTATAAAAAAAATCAATCTCATCTGCAGTGCATATAAATATGTTATTTATATTTTTGTTGTTGCGATGGGTTCAAACATGCACCGTCGTCAAATAAATAATTGGGAGCAATTATTATAGAAGACATCTTGCTCCGTGCCAAGCATAGTGGTACCTTGTCGATGAGCCTTTAAACTAACATTGTCTGACACCGCCGCACCCCACCCCTTCTTAGACACAGAGGAGCTACTTGGACAGAGGTCTCAGGTCTCTCGCTACTTGGACCGAGGACTCGTTGACAGATCCGAGGGAAACATCATGTTTTTTGGATCCGAGACCTCTAAGTTTTATCATATAGCAAGTTTCAAAGGAGACAACTGGTGAAAATACCCGACAAAAACGTAGGAAGCAAAACGTTTCATTTTTAAAAAAGAATTCGGCTGAAATTCAAAGGTAATATGTCGCGTGATGTGACGTAGTATCACGACTTTCGGTTTTAACCCCCGGTGGTTAAAAGTATTAACCCCCTATGAAACTGGTTTAAACCTGACAAACAAGATAATATAATATAAATATATATATTATAAATAGAAATAATACCGGTAAACACAAAAATTTACGATTTCAACAATTAATTTGAAGAACCTACGCGAGTAACTGAGAGCTCTAAATCAGAAGTTGACCTAAAGCTTTTACAAAGAAACCAGATATTGTTATCAATACCGGCGTACTCGCATTGGAATTAGGGTCCATAGCATCACCTTTACCCAAAGAAAAACACACTACAACGAATAGAGCCCAAAACAGTTCAGTGAAACTAGGTAATTTTAAAACAAAAACGTTGGTGAATTCATGCAAACAAGATTTGGCAAGTAGTAGGCTAATCATGCGATGACAAGTACAATTGTGGATGATTGGTGCGAGTGATATTTTAAATGTTTAAGCGACTGTGTTTGTTACTATCCTGCATCCATTTCGTTTCGTATTGATCATTTCTAGATACACTAATTATTTTAAACTCTGCATGTGCAATGTTCCCGGAATTTTGGTCAGCAGCGGATCAAGAACGGAACTTGATTCAGTGACTCTCAAGTTATTTAACAGAACTGATAATATAAATAAATTTCTACTTTATTTTCCAGTAGCATAACCAGCCTGGGACTAAATCGTCAGCTGGCATAGCTGTCGTGGCAATCGTCACTGTTAAGGCTTAACTTCGATGAGAAACTGAAGGTTTATGAAACTTGAGGTTAAGAACAACGCTTTTCAGTCGGCATGCCTAAAGCATGGACGCCGGAATACGGGGCAGCAAGGGCGGCTGCTCTTCTGCCTTTTGCCAGCAGGGGCAAGGGAGGGTGAAACGAGGATGCCTTTCTATTTAAAAGGACTACATATTATATATCTTAAGTGCATGAAAGTTTTACAGAGAACGTTTTGCAAGGCATTCCCTTTCACGCGTCGCGCTTCAGAAGTGCCCTTTCACAAAAATCTCCTCCCTCTTTGCCCTGGCATCGTTCCGGCGTCCCTGGCGTTAAGCCCGTTTGTAAAAAAGCTCGGGTATAGTGCTATCAACAAGAAACCGGATTTTTGAATCCGTTTACGTAAAATTTGCTGTAGTGTGTAAACTAAAAATTTAACCTCCGTATCTCAATCCTTTTCAATTAGTCCCACACAGCCTTTATAACATTAACTCTTCGACATTACATGCAAATTATTTTACTCTACTTATGTCGGCTGTACGGTAACTGTAGGCCCGTTTACATTTGGGATTTTTGCTGCGATTTTCTCCTTTTAATAGATGTGAATGAGTGAATACGTTACGGATGTTCAAATAAGAAGACTTATACATTAGAGGATTCATAAATTTTTGCTCCTTTCCATCTGTCAAAAGAAGAAAATCCCACATAAAATCGTAACAAACTGATTGCAACTGTAAACGGGTCTTGTGTTTTATTTCATACGGTGTCAATATCTTCAGACGAAACTATCGGATTGTTGAACCCCGTATTGCCGTCTCCAGTATCGGGCTTTCCATACGTCAGGAATACATCATTGACCTTCAGCTCAGTGGTATCATCTTCATGAACAACATCTGACATATCTAAAGTTGATTGGCTTTTCCATTCGGGAAGAAAACTGCTCCCAACATTATCCGTCTCATCGTCGTCTGCAGTACCAGATTCATTTGGGATACCGCTAATTCCAATCTGGCTCGACTCGGGCTGTTGGTGACCGTAAAAGTTCCCGCCAGATTTATTACCACAAGAGAGCTCACTGAGCTTTAGATTTTCATGGACCGTGCGGGGTGTTGTTGATCGTTCAAAACAGCGATGACAGACTAATGCTATGACTCCTGTTAAAAAAATTAATCCTAGAACCGAGCCAACTACAATGTATAGTATCAGAGCAGTTTTATTGTCGCTATCGCCACCGTTACTGGTCGGTAATCGTGTTGGTGAAGGTAATGTTGCTGGTCGCGTTATATTGACTGAAGTTACTTGCAGTTTTGTCCCGTCATAAGTAATATTCAGTTCGTTATTCTTGATAGCAGAAAATAATTTCTGAAATATATTTTCATTCTTTACGTTTTGTATTGTCATATCCACGAGAATAGACCCGCAAGTGATTTTAGAAATGTTTATCTTCGAAATTGAAATGTTCAGTACTTGACTGCAAGATTGCTTCACGGCTAATTTGAAAGCAGCCGACTGGACGTTTGGTACTTGGGTGCAGTTAGAATCTATTGTTAGGCGAACTGACACTACTTCAGGAAAAAAAGGCGTCGTTACCTGAGAGCTAGATGAATATGTCAAAGAGCTAACCGAGGGAAAATAGGAAATTCCTATTATTGTTGACGACATGTTAGTCACCAATGCTGGAAATCCAGTTGTAAGATTTTTAGTTGGTAAAATATTTCTCGTAGTTGTGGGTAATGAAATAGTTGAAATTATCAGGGAAGCAGCCTCGGAAGACCTCGAAGATGACGTGGAAAAACTTGCCATACTTCCTGGTCTGCTCTCTTTCTGTTCAGAACTTGATTTATTAACAGCCAGATTTGACAAACTGATAGAACTGCATATCAAAATGATTCTCGTGGTAGACAGGAATTTGGAAAACTTCGAGGTAATAGCCTTGGTTAGAGGATTTGTCGCCATACTTGTTTTCATCGTAGTAATGTTAACCGTAAATGATGGTCTGATGATGTTCGTCTTAGTTTTATTCAATTGTGATGGCGTTTTGTTCGTATTGGAAACTATTGGTTGGTTCGTTGACGATTTTGTCATATTTAACATTAGCGATGTGACATCGCTCATCGCCATATTTGCCGTTGTTCTTAGTGTAGTTGACGTGGTTGTTTTCACCGCCATAGTGGATTGCAATTTTCGTGGTCTGCTTTCCTTCCGCTGAGAGCTTGAAAATGGCTTACTAACAGCGAGAGGTAACATAGAACTACTTATCAAAACGATTCTTGAGATAAACAGGGATTTGGAAAAACTCGAGGCAATAACCATGGACTTCTTACTAATCATAAGCGGAAAAGATTCTTGATTGGCCAGTGAACTTTCCATTCTGTTCGTGAACGTGGTATAACTCGTTACACTAAATATCGTTGACTTACCAATTGGCTTTGTTGTCATATTTGGCAAAGCTAGCAAAGTGGGAATCGTCGTAAATGTTCGTGCAATTGCTGTACTCGTTTTTAAAACAGAGGTGGTAATTACTGTTGCTACGATTAGGTGGAAACTTTGCGTAGTAATTGTTATGAAACTAACAAAGTACAAAAGAAGCTTCATCTTCTACGCCAGATTGTCTTTTTGCTGGGATTAAAAACTCATCAAACGCTCTGAAACAGAAAGAAATTGACGTTATAACTTAATTAAAAAACATTATAAATCAGATACCAATGGTGTTTTGATGCACTCGGGTAATATTGGAAGGATATTTGAAAAACTTGTAAAACACGGGGAGTAGCCGGGGAATATTTGGCTTTAACTCGTCTGATGTGAATACGGTCACAGACGGGTTTCTCGTCTGTCTATAAAAATACGGAGGTAATTATGTTGGACGGGAATCTGGTCTGGATGAGAGATCCGTCTTATATTTGAACTTAGACGAATAATTCTGACGAGTTTCTCAAATAATAACACGGTCAAGGACGGAACAGGGCTGTAAGAAAATGATGATCGTAATGATTACCATAACTTTTTTAACATTATACGCATAAATTTATCCATCCCTAAATTTAACTATTCGCCTTTTCTATATACAATCAATTTTCGCGTCTACGATGAGTTTCTTTACCCTAATATCAGTAATTTGAATTCGGCTAGCTATCACTGAAACTTTCCAGTGTTGAATCGACCCTAATTTTCTTTTTAAGAAACTTTCTTTTTCGTTTCAAACAAAGACAAACTTTTTTTCTTTACACCGATTGCATCTAGAGACACAGACAAACTTCCTGCTTCACCTCAGACAAAGACAAACCTATAAGTCTTTCTTTTTGAGCGTGTACCTAATCATTACATGGCTATATCCTACATTTCTACTGAGAATAATAGTTTTTATTAATTAACGATCTTCCTTCGCCTTTTAACCGCTGCCCTTTCCTTAGTATTTATTTTCCTATTAAAGGCTCGTGTTTCGATAGATTTATTTTTTCTTCCGCCGAGATGCAGAACGTTTACAAGATCATTTACTATAGACACAGCACAAAGTTTAATTTACGGGCTTTTTTCTATCTCCTTTCGCGCTGTTTCATTTTGCCGGCGCTGGCTACCTCGTCGTTCTGTTTCGTCGTTCATATACTATGAGAAACTTGCAGCATATGACGTGTACTTAAAGATGATATAAATTCCGTTTTGCGCATATTTTCTGCTCATAACAAACTAAGATACATTCCAAAGGACAAAGGTGGCGCTCCAACCGCGCTGGAATTACCGAAGCTCAATTATGAAATAACTGTATCTGCTCTCGACCAATCAGCATCCTGTGATTTTATCAGCTAATAATAATACATTAAACTTCATGAATGACATGAACTGATCTTCCCTTATGATTCTGCTTCCGTGTCCAACGCAATGCCGCCACCGCGCTCATTGTTGAAATTAGGAAGTATAGTGTAAGAAACTATAAAACTATTCTGTCTATTCATGCACACATGCAACCCGGCTCTCACTGAACGTCAGCATACCTGTCGGGTCTTTTCTTCCTATGCTCTATATAAACATAGTAAATATAGCTAAACTAATGTAGTTAATACTCTGTCTATACTGAATTCTTTATCATTTCTCCCCTCGCTCGATTAAACCTATACATAACTACATTCATGTATAGCTACTTTCTCATTTGACTATATATATATTTATATATATATGACTGTATTGTAGAGTATTTTATTTCGGGCCTTTGAAATGAAATATTAAAAGAAGGTCAAAAACTTACAGTTCCAACCTGCGACTTGGTTCGTATCACATATTCTGAACTAAATGGCTTTTTCATCTGCAATTTTCTTTTACCTTTGGATTTGATAAGATTCTGATTCTGGCTTCTTTTAAAAGCCTTTTTATATATTTTTCAACCCGTTATGTATAGCCAGTCACAAAAATGTACCTCACCGCGACTTCTAATCGATATAGAACCATGTAATCTCAGTTGAATCGTTCGTACCTTTGAACCAAATTATAACACAACAAACACAGCTTGCGAAATTTTTTAATTTTCATTTGTCACCCTGTGTGTCGTCACTGACTCGTGACCACTTTATTTTAGATTAAAACTAAAAGAGCTTTGCAAATGATGAATATACATTTCGCGAGATATGTACGTGACCACGTAAGCAGACATGCAAAAGCAGATATCAGTCGATAATTCACTACAATACTTAAATTGATATCATTGTATATTGGTATTATATGTATATGATATATTTACGAAATTATGAACACAGCAGGTCTATTATAGGCCGCCTTTGACATTAATACCATTTTTTATTTACATAAATCTTGTCAAACAACCCTATATAATTTGATTATAAAATGCATCCTTGTTTGCCAAAGATTACGGAAGATCAGATGTTTTACGAAAAAATGTTACAACCGTTAAACCGAATAGAATACGACACAAACTTTTTTGTAAACACAAACTTCAAGACAATGTTTCACTGCAGACATACTCCGAACAACAACACGACCACAAAGTCAAGATGACTTGTATGCTTGGAACGTAATTTTCTGTTTAAAACCTACAGACAAGACTTGCTTCAGTGCTTACCTTACCGATCCAATATTTTCTTTTCAATCAGTGTTGCCAGGCTCGATCCTTACTGTTAGTCAGGCAGCCGCCGAACGAGACTAACCTCGGATTTCAGCGAGAAAACCACTTTGTTTTAAATTAAAGGACAAAAGAATTTGGTTTCTCCGGAATTTTAAATATCGTTTAATTGTCACACTCGAGACCACCAAAACAGAATTGGACACAGATTATAGATTTAAAGCCAGATTACATAGTATAGATATACTGGTATGACAACATTTCCTATGGACAAGAAGCTATGTATATACTAGCTGCAATAAGATGAACGGCGAATATGAATGAACGGATTATAACAGCATTCGGAACAATCCGTGGGTTTTTTCGGGACAAGAGTTTTCCGCTAAAATGGGAAACGGAAATTAATTTACAAAACAATAAACTATGGTTCAATTCATGGGCATTCGTCACGAATTTGACACAGCACATTCTTTATGTCATTTTTGCCTCTCATGAGTTCAGTTATGTGTGTACTGCATGAGTACTGTATAATTGGGGCCTATATCATCTCTTAAGGTCTGTTCACACGATCCAATTTTGTTGGACTCGATTCACTAGCTCCTGACGCATGGAATATTGTGGCTTCAGTGGATTTGCTGCTCATAACATTACAAACTATAGGTCAACAGACTGTAAAACATCTATTAGAAGTGAATTGGATCCAACAAATTTGGATCGTGTGAACATGCAGACCTTCGAATACTGATTACTGCATGGCCTTTGCTGATTTTAATTATATTTTAATGCAACATATTCAGACTTCTATGCAATATGTTCAAGAAATTCTCTGTTTTTATAATCATATGCAGTAGATCATTTCTAATATATTCATAGTTACCATAGGCATGCAGCGTTCATTAACTGTCGATGATGTAAGCCTAGTCATAAAGACTTGGTTTGTAGCTAAGTCACGAGGGGGTTTAACATCTCAAAGGAGATGTTTCCTGAAACAACGGATGGGTGAACCTGTCCACACGTATCCGGATATTTTTAAAAACGAAGGAATTTTTCTCCGTTTTAAAAAAAAATTCGCGTCCACACGAAGCGTACTCGAATCGTTTTTGCCCGTCCACACGTAAACGCTTAAACGAAGGAAATTTGATATATACATATTCACTCGCGTTTTTAAATACTATCCGTGCAGGCAGTTTAGCATAGTTACATGAAGCTGAATGCATGCTATTAGATTTGAAATTATGAAAGAGGCCAAAGTAAAAAAGCGAAGAAATTTTAGTTCACCATCTTGAAGAGAATCAAAACACGCGCCGTTAATGGCCCATTATAGACTGGATCCGATTATAAACATCATCGAATTAAAAAACCTCGTTTTCGCCCGTTCACACGTAAACACGAAACCGGCGTTTTCGAAAAACTCCACTCTGGAGAGCGTTTTCGAAAAACTCCACTCTCGACGGCCGTACACACGAGCATTTTTCCTTGTTGAAAAGCTGGCATGACTAGCTTTTGAACAAGGTACCTTGTCAAAGAAAACTTGTCAATTTTTTCGCATACACAGGAGCAAATAAAACTTGGCAAGCCGTAAAACTTGCCCGTCTGTACGGGGCTTAAGCGTCTTCATTTTGTGCTTGGAATGCATGGGAGAGTATCACCGGTGTATTTCACTTCCTTAACCAGCAGGGATGCGCTATAACGATAATTGAACGCCCCCCCAATTATCGTTCTAGCTGCGCCCCTGCTGGTATCATATATGCTGTTCTGGCTGACCGCGACGGATTTCTATTGTACACAATATATTGAACTTTGTGTATGTTACTTATGTTACTACTTGGTATGTTAATTCGACCAACTCAGGACTGACTGTGGAAAGAAATATTTTTTGCAATTTGTGTGTAAAACGTTTTGGTTATATTTGAGAAATGTTGATACCATCATCGATCTTTAATCCGCGTTTCCTGAACCCGCGATCGAACCTGCGATCGTTTCCCTGTCAAATACTGTTTGCAAATGGCTTGTTCATTGCAGTGAACTGGTTCACTGTGAGAAATACCGTAATGCAGACATCCACAGTCAGGCAAGTTTGAACCAGTATAGACTTCATTTTAACGCCATACATTTCATATAAAAATATTCACTACCGTGCAGAAAACAGGCACATTGCATATATTAGAGATAATCTTTATTTCTTCCCAATCACAAAATATTTACAAATTTCAAAAATTTTACAGTAATATCACGATTGATTAAATAGTTTTTTTTTTCAAGACAAACGGCTGTCCGTTGAGTCTGGTTCTTATAGCACCGACAGTCTAAGATGTCCATGGTCATGGATTGCGCTGCAGTGTTTCCCATTCGACGTTTCAATACCGAGACTTTGACTATAATTGCTTTAGATTAACTACGAAATTACATTTCATTTTCAATTTTTCCCGTGTGAATGGGGAAATTTTTGTGATAAACTTGTCATGGAATTGTATTTAAAAGATTGTATTCTATTCTTTTAATTCGTTTGTTCTAAAATATAATTTTGGCAAAGAAAATCGGCTTATGTAAAGGATCAAATTCGTGGGAAAGTTGTCACGGGAAATGCATTTAGACAAAAAGACGGCAAGCTAATTTCTCCATTAAAAAAATTAGCTCAAACCACTCAGCACAATAGCATGCAATTATGCGGGTTCCCACCCCTATAATATATACGTTTGTCTTTACAACAAGGCTTACTTCAAAGCAATACATATAAAGCCCCGTACGTACAGACATGCAGGCAAATTTTCCATGACAAGTTATATTTGCTCGCGTTTATGCGAAAAAATTGACAAGTTTTCCTTGACAAGGACCTTTTTCAAAAGCTAGTCATGCCAGCTTTTCAACAAAGAAAAATGCTCGTGTGTACGGCCGTATTGTCATAAAATATACTCAACATATATTATCGTAAAACTTGTCAAGAAAAATTTGTCCAATTTTTCGCGTATACGCATGCATGAGCAAATATAGTAAAACTTGCATGGCAAATGAAAACCTGGCTGTTGGCAAGGAAAACTTGTACTTCATACACACCATGCAGCAAGTGAACTGCATGGTCAAGAAAACTTGTCAAGGAAAACTTGCCCGTCTGTACGGGGCTATATATGTGCTGTTAATGGGGCTGGAAGAGGGGACTATATAGTCGGCGTTATACAGACAAAAATCGAGCTCAAGGTGAATAAAAATACTCTCCTATAATCTATACATCTATAATCATATTAGTTCATCCATTACTTTGTTATAATCGATTCATCAAATTTTGCTGTTTTACATTATAACCACAGTCCGCGCCGTTTGCGCTGATTTTGTTTACATGGCGTATAAACATTTTTCCTAAATTGCATTCATAAAAGCCGTTTTCATTAAAAACTGAATGAACTGACCCCGTTGGTTTGGTCTTTAAATCCTGTACCTTGGCCTTGCATGCAGGGTTTTGATGATACAAATAAAGTTTAAAATAGGCCTACCGCCTACTCTGTCTGTGCACGAAGTCCCGAGCCCGAGGTATGAATGATAATATAGATTCCAGAGATATATAATAACACAAAATTTGGATATATAAAGAGCTAAAATGCGTATGTAAACAAAACGCGCTAAACGCCTTGTCTTGTGGTCTTGTGGTAAATTGACAGTATATAGTCTATAGTATAGATAGACTAGTACTAACTTGTCTTAATTCTCAAATTAAACTATACTTGATATTTCGTCTTGAACTTCGGCTAGTCGAACTGAGATATTAAAAGCAACCTCGCCTGGCACTTATATCTTTGAATTTTCCCTTATTGATTTAGCAGCGTGGTAATTTATATAAATCAACAATATAGTCAATACTCAACTATACTGTCTATAGTCAACAATATGATTCTATTGCCATTAGAGGATCATATCAAGAAACAATAAACCTTATCACGAAACCAACGCGGAAGCGGGTATTTTCACTGCATGCACTTCCAGTTTTAAAGTATAACGTTTAGTCTTTAGACGAGATTTACTGAATAATGAAACATTATACTAGTTTTACAAATGTTTATACTCGCGAGAAGTGACATGTCTATATACTGAAATTTAGTTTGATATTTGCGAAAAACCCGTGCGGTAAAAGTTTCGCGATAGGTGTATTGTATTTAGTATTTACAATGAACAAGTTTGCTTATCGATTTAATTGGGGGGTTAATATTTGGGTGGGATGAGATTTACAATTAAATATTTTAAAACAGATGCATGATTGTTTTTCCGACCACGACAATCAACCTTTCTCACCGGCACTGACGAATATCTGGCATTTTTGGGCTATTTTTAATTTCCTTTAAACGAGTTTTAACATGTAACAAAATAAAAGAAAATTTTTGAAAATCAATTGAATAAATTTTCAGAATAAATCTGGTCAAAATGAATTAAGTTACGATGTCTTTCTTTCGCGATTTTGAAAAAAAGTTAAATGTCGGGTATAGTTGCATGATCGTGAGAAAAGCGTAAACTAAATAAAACATAAAAATCTTACGAATTCCGTCTCTCGTTTTTTTTAACAATTATAAACTTCCCATAATTCCTTAGCAAACTTGAATTGGAAATCGCAATCTAGCATCAGTAGAGATTCTCTGTGTTACCCACGAAAGTGAGAAATAACGTGAGGGTATGTAAAAATCAAAAAAATTTTGATGCCGTTAATAAGTTCAATACATTTTCTGTTCAACTCACTTATATCAATACTGGACTTATGATAACTGACAATTATTTCATGGAATATTTGGCCGCCATCTTTGAAGAAAGCACCAGTTCCAGTCCCTTTCTATTGTTTTTTTCGTCGAACGTGAAGAAAAAGCAATAGAAAGGGACTAGCACTGGTGCCGAATTGACTTCAAAGATGGTGACCGAGTTATCGTTCCAGTTCACTCATTCATCTGTAATGTACATAAAGTGCTGGTAAAAAATATATTTGAAAAACAAAAACTAAATTTTTGATTGCATTTTACAGTCTTCATACAATTTATCGGGCAAAAATCTAGTTTTTTCCAAATATATTTATAAACAATACAGCAACTTTTATGCATCCGACATTCTTGCCAGGTACTTATGTTATTCAGAGTTTATATAGTTTAGCATTCAGAGTTTATATAATTCAGTATTCACAGGCACATCCAGCGGGACGAGGGCATATCCATGCACATATTCATGTTTTATATAATTCAGTATATAATTCAATTTTATATGATTGTTTTTACGGTCATTGAACATGAATATATATGAATAAGTCCACCCCAGCTTATCAATAGCCTATGCATGTCACCGGAAAGAATTATATTTGTCATATGGTATATATGGTGCATTATATAAAGTATATAGAATATATTTATATAAAGTATGTAATATATTATATTAATAATTTCGCCATTTACAGCTACATGGCCGGGTCACTACAACAGTTCGCGTGACACCAATAACTGTAGGCCTATAAATATATACTATGTATAGATCTATAAACACTATGTTACAATCGGTTATTCAACTTCTGATATTATTATATTATTGGTTTACCTCGATAGTTTATTTCTGACTAGTATCTGACGCCTCATGGAATGCCGCATATCGAGCTACAACGAAAACAAAATTGTTAAATATAAAAACTATATAACTGGAACTATGATTAATTTAAAACGTATAATTTGAATTCTCCAAAAAACGACGCAGTACATGCAGTGGCGTAGCAAGCCTGGCGATTTTACGCCACTGAGTAGATGCAAGTCGCCGTCACCTATTCGAAAACGGGCTGTTGCAAGTTACCCGGAAAACGACTGAGCTAGTTCTGATTTTCTCCTGCCCAATCACGTGATTTTGACCAACTTTTATAATGAAGACAACCACTGTTAAATCGTTATGGGGCTAACGTTTTCAAAAACCTTTTCGGTCCGTTAACTGCATGACTCACAGATTTTTCCACGTTTATACAATTACTACGCCTTCCCATACCGCGGTATACTCGATTTCTGTCATTTCACGTGTGTTTCATCTTTGAGGAATTTAGTTGAATTTGACGCTGAATTTTTTACCATTGTAAATTATTGGCGAGGGGGTGTCGCATCACCCTAACCCTACAAGCCATAAAACCTTCACCCGAGAAAATTTTCAGTCGGTATGTATATGAACTGTACAATGATGTATACCTTCTCATTATCTTCAGCCTGAATCAACCTCTATTAAAGTTCTGTATCAAAATCCCAGCATTAACATTCCACCTTGCTTTACCGCTCAGTGCATATTCTGTTTGCAGTTGCCGATCAGTCAGGTCAAATTGCACTTCTTCAGGAGAGAAAATCTCGCCAACGACAGTATCACTGCCTGATGAACTTAATGTCTCATCCAGATCAGAGTCCGCACTAACTGACCAACACGTGACATATGAGGATTCACTACACGCAGTCTCATATTCTGTCTCATAATCCTCCGAGCACATGTCATCCTCCTGGTAGGTTCCATAACCAACCTCTGCAATACTTGTTCGGTACACTTGAGTCTTATGCGAGCAGCTGAAAGTAAAAATTAAGCGTCTTCATAAATTTTTCATCACTATAATGAGGCGAATGAGAAGATCATCAGACCATGATGCATGGTACCTGGAATTATTATACGGCTAATTCGTGAACAATGTAAAAAAAATATGTAGTATACTTAAAGACAACATATAAACAAATATTATATCGCTTTGACTCTATTGAAATAAGTTCGCCCATGTAAATCGTGTCTCAACTGTATTGCTTTGAAAACTAAATTTAAAACAAGGGAAATTCACAAGCACAGGTGAAAAAGAAATTTCCAAACTGGTGGAAAATTAGCAGAAGTGAAAGTATTTTGTTCCAAGGTATTGAAAACTGTGAAGAATATCGCCGTACTCCGGTCGAAATATATGGGAGACAATGATAAGCCTTAATTAATTGCCTTTCTTGTGCATTTGCTAACAAAGAAAAGAGCCAACAAATTTTTGAATTCCCCCAACAAATTTCCGGTTTTTCAGCCAGAATGCTTTTCAATCATTCGCACATTCAAGTTCATATATTTAGGTATTCTATGATTTCAGTTAATCACGGTGAGCTGAGTTGTGTATATAAAATTCCAATAGAAATTAAGACCCTTTAAAAGCCTTTAGAATTACCAAAATCGAACAAAATGCCACAAAATCGTAATAGACTCAAAGTAAATATATCCTTTCAGGGTATGGAAGTCTGCAGAAAATACAGCGGAATATTATAGAATCGTACGAAGAAGGTTCAAATTTCTATCCTAAAAAAGGAACAAATTCTAAAACTTCGCAAAAGAATATTGTTTATATCGTTGATTCACTTGTTCGGGTTGCAAAACTTGATGTGTGCATGGGTAGAACTTAAGGAGATTTTTAACTCGTCATCATTTTATGTCATTAACCAAACGAAATAAAATATGTTAACTCAATGTTCCAAATCGACATAAAATACTGAGACGAGTAGTCTATATATACGATTGTCAGACGTTTGTTACGTTCCCTATAGGCGGACTGTTGCCGTTGATCAGTTTCTTGTAAGATTTGCAAAACGTATGCAGCTAGCATTATCGAATATAAAAATTATTATATACATATGTCATTTTACCTGTCATCACACGTGTGGTTATAGATTTTATAGTGCAGAATAGCATCGTTAATTGTATGCAGCAACAGATCAAGGAAGTTAACTCCAGTGGAAATCTTTGGTAACTTCAAGATAACGCTAAAATAAAAAACACAGCGAGTTCTTCATGAAAATCGCATTTTATTTCGATATATTCATATATTTTGCATCCGGATTGGTGATTGGCTAGTTGTATATAATAGGGTGATTTTTAATGGATATGGTCAAGAGTATACATGCAATTACAACTTGTTAAGGGTGTAATTAATGCACGCTTCTTATGCAATGAAATTGCCGTATTTCATAATGATTACATAAGATATATGCGTAATTTTGAAATTATATCCCCTGTATAGTTTTGATGGCATTCATGTCATATATACTGTAACAATACACAGATCTAATTAATGCGGACATACAGTACCTTTCAGCTATTTGAGTTATCTTCGATACTGTTAGAACACACGGCTTTATGACAATAGTGTATATCATCTTCGTAACAAAATTTGATAATTCTTTCTCTGCAAGCAAGACATCCACCTTCGCAATCTCAAGAACTACAAATGAAATATTAAGCTTTCAGAAAAAGTAACGACGGAAAAGTTTACCTGATAATATAAATAATGTTATATAACGCGGAAAATATCTGGGACAAAAGCTACATGTTGTAACTATATCAAAGAATTGTTGCCAATCCACAAAAAGTTTTCCAGGGTCTTGACATACGTCCGTTAAATTCCGCTAGAATTTGACCCTGGAAATTTCAGATTTGATTTTAAGTCTGAAGTTGAACTTTTCAAATTATAACTCAGGGGTGTATAATTATTCTTCTTTAACTCCCCCCCCTGACACCCTGAAGAGGGGGAAGAAATTAAAGGGTCTTTGTCCAGGAAAGGAGACTAAAGCGCTGTTAATTTTTTTGGGAAAATGAAGGAAGTAGGAAAGAAAAGAGGATTTGGAAAGAACAATATTCGAAACTTTTTAAAAATATGTTTTTAAATGAAATTCAACTTAGTTAACAAAGACCCCGAGACTTCACCATATTATTCCTAAATCTCAAATGCCGTCATGAAAAGTTGCTGCCCTTTAAAGTTCGTTTTAAACTTTCAACCTCCTACGTCGGTCGACTTTAAATTGTTGTGTTTCATATTAAAAAACCAAAGCATTGAGCAATATACTTACGACAATGCAAGTTGCATTCACCACATTTTTCCAGGATATCCTTTGAAACCTCGACTGTCGCCTTCTCCGACGTATGTTTTGATGTCGTCCTAATGGATTTTGATTTTGCCTTCGGTTTTGACGATTCTGCGCCTGATACATTGCAGCAGCAAGAAACTTTTCTACCTCTGGGTGCTCGTTCAATTAAATATTCTGGATCTATGCAAGAAAGGACAATCTTTATTGAATTAGCTGTTCTATTGAAATAGATACAATGAATACAAAAGGCCTAAAACTTCCAATACGTGCTCATAAAGGCAGACAGAAACCTTGTGGGACAGAAACCTTGTGGGACAGGATGTGTCATGTGTGTGCATGGGGTTGACCGAAAGTAGTTCATGCTAAAACGTCTGTTTTCCTTAAATAAAAGCCCTTATCCTTTTCCTTTTTAAAACTGAGCGTAGTTGACACGTGCAAGAATTAAACTAATCAGAAATCCGAAATCCAAAAAATTTTTTAAAAATTTTTAACAACTGGCTCTTGCGATTAACTGCACGGTACTTGGTATTAACGAAGTGTCTAGATAGCGGGCAGCCGGTCGTCTTGAAACAGCCGGCACTTTTACTTTTAGGGTTAAGATTAGGGGTAGGATTATAGGGTTAGGATTGGGGTTAGGATTAGGGCTACGATTAGGTTTAAGGTATGTGTGCTGAAAAACTGCGCCGGTCATTTAGCAAATTTGTTGAAATTTATGGTGACATTAGGTTTAGTTTATACGGGAAACGACTAGATGACCGGCTGCCGGTTACCTAGTCACATCCTGGTATTAATCTAAATTCATGAAGCGCGCAAACAATAAAAAATTCCGCTCTGCGCGCAAAATTCCGCCTAATGGAGAACAGGCCTTAAGGCGTTTCCTCCGTCCAACTTACAGTGAGCTTTCAGGTACTTAATGGTATCAGTGTATCCCTGTTTGCACATTTTGCTGAGAACGTGGACATCGGGAGGAAAAAAAGCTCGACAGATGCGGTAAAAATTCTGAGCGCTGAAACGGATGCTGGTGTTGGTAAACATGATGTGATTGAAGCTATTTGAATCATCTTCTGGACAAATATCGCTCTCGCCGCTCCACGGTGTCACTGTTATCGTTTCTCCATCGAAGTGCTGAGGTAAATTATTTGAAATGCCTCCATCCACATAGTACTATAGTGGTAGGATACATGATTACAAAATACACTCACATAAATGGAAGATGGTTAACAGGGGGGGGGGGGTACTAATATTCATATATTCATGTAGGCAGACAATAAAAACAATCAATTTCAAAAGGTACTGAATGTGAATATATGAATATTAGCCCGATACACCATGCAAAACAATGTATTATTCAATATGGTACAGAGGTTGCATGAGATGTGTACATAAGTCTTTCTGGTTCTGTCCTTTATAAACAATAAAAAACAAACTGTCACTAGAAGCCTAATTGAGGGAACGGGGGTTGTATATTCATATACTCATTCCTAAAAACAATCACTATCAAAAGAAATCAGTTGGGCATAAGACAAATATAAGAATATGCACACCCTACCAATTGAACTTTTAGCAATGACCCTAGAATTCCTAGCAGGTTTGCCCCCCCCTTTTTTTTCCATGAAGAAAAAAATATTTGATAATATTCTGCATAGGGTGTAGAATTGGCATTAAGTTCTTCTACGTATACCGACCCCTAAACATACTTTCAACAGGGCTCTTGAAACTGAAAAATGATATATGGACTAAACCAAATTATTACATTAGGATGCAACAATATTTAATTAAGAATTTGTCTGATGATAATGATTCACTTACCTCACCACGAAACATGGGAGGCATTACACCGGAGTAGATAGGAACATGGGCAGAAGCAACTAAAGCCTAGAAAAAAGTAATTCAGGCATTTAAGTTCAAAGATATTCTTTTTTGGTGTCATTTGGAATAAAAACTTAGCAATAATTTCAACAAAAGTATTATTGTGGTAACATTTTAAATTGTTTATAGGTAGTTTGGTAACATTAAACCTGATGTGGTGAGATTCTGTACTTCTAACCATGCTGCTTTGCAAATGATGCATGCAATATGCTGCTGAGTCTCAAATTACACATTCTAAGAAATGATATATGCACAGTTTGCATTTCATAGGCATAATGGAGAGATTAACTCCCAAAGCAACTCTCAAGAGAAACTTATGGGCGAAGTGTATCTCTCGGACTTGGTTGGGACAAAGGAATATGTACATATATATTTCAAACATTCAACTGTGTTGGTGAATCTTGAGGGGAACGACTTTGGAATCCTCCAGTACACAGTGATATTTTATAAATAACATAGACATATTTACATGAACTTTACCCTCACAGTGTATACATATTAGCAATGTTTATGTATGCATGTATACTCAAATTACACACAATTTCGCCCAGCACAGTGCGTCTACAAAATGCATTCACTTTTCTTTGGGAGTTAACTATTTCCTTTCAAATCTCTCGAAGTATGGTAAAAATAAAACTTTTCTGGTTCGTGATAAGTACCGTATTTTTTTCTTACAACTGCAGTGTCGGCGTTGAGTCAACACAGTGAAGTTCATTCAAAAGCTCATTCATTAGTTCCAAAGTTCAAATATTCAGTTTCCAAGTTCAAAATTATCGCGCCAAGGTTGCACATGTCATATCAAACACCAGAATAATTGGAAAATGTATGAACTTGGAATTTGAACATTGTAACTTAAGAACAATATTGACGCTTAAAAGAACTTTACAACATTATCACAACATTGTGGGAGGAAAGTAGTTTAAATTTGACAGTAAGGATAATCTTTATGGTTTAGGCCCAAGCTTATAAACAGCACAATGAAGTAGTAATTTTAGAAACACAACGAAGTAGTAATCTTAAGACTTCATTGTCTCATATTTTATTATCTGAGATTTATACAACAAAACCTACTATTATATAAGTTTCATGCCATAATTCAGAGTGGTGATCCATTTTACAAGATCATGCAATGAAAACCTTTCCTCCCTTTTTGCATTAATGACACAGTCAATGTCTATCATGGGCTAATAATATATATCGATATGCAAGTACATATATAATATTCAAGTACATATGAGATATATACGCCTTGAGAATATTGTTAATATCTTCGCGTCACGCGGAAATCACATGGAGAATGGAAATCACATTATCAATAAATCTACAAATATATCACGTACGTACAGTATAATCCGTACATCATGTCGTTATTTTTGTAATATTTTGGGGCTTTTTTCAATGTTTTAGCCTTTTCGCAATTTAATGAAAAGGCAAGACATTCATATAACCATTCCTTATTACCCCACTTTTTGTTTAGGGACAAAACCTACTTGTATTAAAATAAATCGACCCTTGAGAACATAAACTTCGATGGGAAGAAATAGACGAGGCATGAGGTGATGCAAAATACATTACAGTGACGAACATTAAGTGAAGATTGTAAAATATAAAGTCGAATATCACATGTTAAGTGAAGTAAACATTCAGATAAACTTACATCAACAAGGTCGTCGTTGGAACGAAATTCAGAAACCACAACATTCTGCCAGTCACTACAACGTGTAAGCGATATATGAAGCTTCCCCGAGCACCGTTTGTAAGCATCAACTGGTATCATTCTGTTAAAAACCTTTCGGATCGTATTTGTGAGCTGGAATCTAGGGTGAAAGGGGCCTATCGAGAATCTCCTAGCATGTTCTGCCAGTCGTAGAGTAAACTGTAGCGATTCTGATAGACTGATACCGCAGAGAAGCGAACCGGCGGCCAAGGCGCCAGCACTTGCTCCCCCAAAGTTCTCGATTTTTTCAAGAAGTTTCGGCGCCCTGTCCTTCAAGGCACTCGCTACTCCGACATGATAAATTCCCAAAAATCCACAACCAGAGAACGTTAAGCTTAAGCTTTTCGTTTCTTTAGAATCATCCATGTTTTAGGCCAGTAAATAACTACGTATTTCACTATTTACCAACGTTACGACACAGAACGCAGTGTTTTGCTTCACGCCCCCCACACACACCAGTATTATCGCTATTCTTCAATCCTATTGGTTGATTACCATGACGTATCAAATTATTGACCGGGAATGACCGACCTTGAGCGACCTGCAATCCAATTTCAACAACACGAAGTTCGAGTGTTCGACACAACCAATGGAGCCTTTTTAAAGGGATAGTCGAATGCAAAGAATGCACGAGAAATATGGAATCTGTGCCTCTGGAAGACTGTAATCCAAAGGAACCTCTATTCTATTTATTCAAACACAAAGATATCGACGGACTTCAGCTGCCTTTGAAAGGTTCAAGCAGGGTTAAGGTGAGTTAGACAAAGTATTGTAGGAATTTTCCTATTGATCTATATTAAAATTTACAATTTATGCAAGTCACGTACGAGAGCAGTTCAGGGTTTATCTATATGTCGGGATTTGTCATTATTGTCAGGTAACTACATAAGAAGGCCTCGTAAAACTCATCATGTCAACCCTGAATGGTTAAATACAATTTTTCCCCTTTCAACTTTTCTGAGTATTGAAAGCAGCGGTAGTTGATATAGGGGCAATAGGGCCCCATCCCAGACGCCAGACCTTCGTCAGCAGGGGTACTGGTTACAAGAGAGGTCCTTTGGACTAAAAGAAATTTTTTAAGCTTGGAGTTCAATGTGCCCAAGACAAATGATGCCCAAGTACAACAAGTTTATCCTGCTTAGTTATTGCTAAGAATTGCCATATATAGATAAATATTATTGGCATATATGACACTATTACTGCATGGCATCCTCCTGTTGGTGTCCAACAGTGCATGCTGGTTATAATGTATGAGAATGTTGATATATTAATGCATTCCATGTTTCCTTCCATTACTCAAGGCAGGAAAAAATAAATTTGTCGGATGAGGATTGCGGAAAGAATATATATAGTTTAAAACTTTATCCAACAATTTTCTGAATGCTACTGTTGAAAAATTGTTCCTTAACTTTTGTTTGTTAAATTTACTTGTGTTAATTCTTTTTCTATTTCAGTATATTAGCTTTAATGTATCAATCAACTATATTGCACTTGGGACAAATGCTGGAGGTATTCATATATTTCGAAGATCATCCCTAAGACATTACAGATTCCTAAATGCAAAAGTAAGCAATATACCTTGTTATATTGTATAAATATCCAGCATGGCATGAGTTGCTTGGTGGCAAAATTAAAGCATGGTTCATTGTCAGATAAATGATGTGGCAATTAAATGCTCCCTGATGATTGCAAACAACTTTAGAACTGCATTCAAATAGATTAAACAATTAATAGCCCATATAGAATTAAGACAGCTAGTCTATATATATGGTTTTGTTAGCAATGAAACCTTAGAGTTGTTTTTAAGCAGTTATCCAGGTTCTCAACTGACTGGGTAAATTAAACTGGCAGTTATTTCTTTGTTTGGTATTAGGTTACTTCCTGTTTAGATTTCTATAGAATTTACCAATTTGCAATTAGCCCATGCAAATTTCTATTATTATATTTAAATTCAAATTTATATTAAAGCTAGGCCTCATTCATAATACATGAATGTCCATAATTTCAATTTGATTGGGGGTGAAGAAAAAAACAAAACTGGAGAGTGTTAATTACCAGCAACTTAGACAGATGTTGTGTGTGTTGGATTTCTTTTAAATTTTGAGTCTGATTTCCATGAATTTGGGGTGCATCAAGCCATCAACAATAACATAGGATGTATCAGGTGACTCTCCAGTATTGTATTTTTGCAGTCATTAGAGCAACTAGAACCACTTTCTTTTTCCTTTATGTGAATAGCTTAGAAAACGACTGCATCTCTCGTAGCTACGTATATATTATTTTGCATGAAGTTTCTCATCACATATTAAGTGGTTTTTAAGCCTGTTTTCCATTAGGTATTACATAATTGGCGTAAGAGAAACCTAAAAGTGAATTCAGTAACGGCCACCAAATTTCAAGGATCTAGAGAGATCAAATCTCAAACATCAGTCCTGAAACGTACATATTTTTTGGACGTGCGTCCTTGATTGAGAAACAGCTAGCCCTTGCGAATAAATGAAACCCGGCGTAACAACAGTCAACAATGCTCAAATCTCCAACAATCATTATCTCTGAAGTGTGTCCGTGTAAAAAATCCTTATTTTAATGCATGCTCATACCTGAACAAGTAGAAACAATTCCTAAAATTAAGCATGCCATAAATATGCATTGTGCCTTTGTGGCGAAGTAGCTATACCGAATAAACAAAATAACAATTGCTGCATGTCGGCCCCATCGTCGAAACAATCTTGCCCGCGCCTAGTTAAATTAAGGCAGTGTTGCCAACTGTAATTTTGTAAAAATCCCAAGTAAGCGCCTGAAATATCCCGAGATTCCCCCTAATATCCCGAGATTCTAGTTTCGACCCCAGTCCTCAGCCTTGGCGCACCCTAGTACCCAGTCCGCTCAGTGTGCATTTATAAAGCGGCCGTACTTCTCTGCTTAAACGATTGTACAAATAGTCTTTATTGAGTGACTTTGAGTAAGTATTTTAAGTACAAGGGGACGAACCTTGGATTTTTAAAATGTTTATTTGTCAATTTAACGAAAACATCTTTTCCCAAATTCCAAACTTCCCTTTCCCAAAAATCCCTAAAAAAATCCCGAGATTACTATTTGAGAAATAAATCCCAAAAAAATCCCAACTGCTTCAAAAAATCCCGAGATCTCGGGATAAAATCCCGAACTTGGCAACACTGAATTAAGGTTTATAGACACAAATGTCACACAATAATGTCACACAGTTCGCTTCGTTAAACAAACCAGCTAATCAAACGTGCCTTTTGCGTTTGAGGTCATTATGAGAAATTTATTTTGAAGCGATTTTGCTGCGTAGCATTGACCTGAATTCAGTCAAAATAAAAAAGTTATGTGTAATGTTTTTCTCTTAACTTCTAGGTATTTCCACTACCTGACTCCAGCCGAATACTGGTAAGCTAGAAGTAGAAACACTTATTATGCCCAGCAATAATCTTTTTTCTTAATTTTTATCATATATGTTTCACTTTGCATTAAGCAAATTTATGTAGATTGTATTGAACGTATATGTAAATTGTACCTGTCTATATTGTTCATGTTTTCCTTATATTACGATATTCATTTGTTAGTTTATCAGCATAGGTTTTAAGAGACCATAATTTAACTTAGGAAAGCATAGGCAGCCCGGTCAATACGGGTACCGTATATATGCATGTGTTATTTACTGCATGACCAGATTGGATGTCCGTTTAGGGAAATACTTCCCGAGGTCTCAGATTGCAGGAAACTGAATTCGGACCGCAAGAAAAAAAAATAAACTATCTTATCTATCTATGGGGAAATAAAGGGTCTCGTATATTTTTATAGACAGCATAAAAGGGTTTTCACCCCCTAGAAGAATTTCCACCCCAACTGGAAAAATTTGCACGCCCCCATAGAAAACAAATCGTCAAAAATAATCGCCAAATTTCAAAAAAACAACAATGCTCTGATGGTGGCTAGGATTCTAAGAAATAATAATCTGAGGATATAATATTAACGGTAGATCAAAATTATGTTGTTTCTTCTTTACAAATTTGAACTTGTTGTATAGTAGAAGCAAAAGTATAAAAAGTTATACTCAAGCTTGCAGAGGCCAGTTGTATAAAAGACTAGTTTACTTTTAACTGTAGTTAAGAACAGAATTAGCCAATCAGAGTTGTGTATTTCTGAGTTAACTAGGATTTAACTATGCAAGATGTGGTAGTTAAAGAGTTTTATAATACAACATGCAGCCTCTGGTCGACTTTTTCCTGAAAGTCCAAAATATACATATGAACGAGTTTCAAAATCAACAAATGTTCGGGGGAGAGTACCTCGCATCTCCTTGAATTTTGAACACTTCCTTGAACAAAAAATATGAAAACCGTAAGAGTGTACCGAGAGAGTGTTTAAATTTTTTTCCGGGTGAAATTTCCCATTTACACTGCGCACAATTTTTGGTGCGGTACCAAAAAAATGGCTCATGAAATTTTAAACTGCGAAATATTTATCTAGTCATTAATTTCAACCTTACCAATTTTATCCGTTTACACTACCACTCTAGCAGTATGTTCAACTTTAATTTTGATACGGATAAAATTGAGAATTATTGAATTTGGACTACCCAAATAGATGGTCTTTGGACTTTCTTTCGGACTTTCATCCGCACCTAACCTAAAATTGTACGTAATGTTAATATAGGGCTTAAAATTTGTTTTTTTTTTCATTTGCCCAAACTTTGTGTATTTTTTAAGGATGTTGGTGTGACGAATGTTCTGTTTTCTGCCCAGGAGAAGTTTTTGGCGGCAGCATTAAGGTATTATTTTATTTCAGCACAATATTTGCAAGGCTTATTTATTATAGTACCGAAATTCACCAAAATTTGATAGAAGTCAAAACAGGAGTAAGACCCTCGCACCCCCCTAAATGTCAATGTGCACAAACCTACATAATCACTATTGCTAAGAAATCTATATGGTTGTAATATCATATTTTTCGTATAAGATGAACTAAAGGGCTATTCAGCGTTGCACAGTGCAATTTTTCATGCAACTCGCAATAAATTTCCACTTTTGAGAGATGTTATTACACTCCATGAACACTTGACACTTACATTTTGAAGATTCTTCACTAGTTTACATCTCTTAAAAGTAGAATTGCATTGCAAGTTGCAAGAAAAATTGCACTGTGTGACACGACCTTAATGAAGAAAAGTCTTTATTGAATTTAAATAGTTCTGGTCACGTTGCAGTTTGGGAATTGAACTTTGATAAAAGGGAAGCTTCTCAGGTAAAAGTTATAAATTTCTTAGATTTTTAGGAGAAAGATGGAACAAATAAGGTATGTCTATGTAGATGATCCTATTTGTTCGGTGGCATCGCCATTTTTTTTATTCGTTTTTTGTCAAATTGATTGTTTTTACGGTCAGTGAACATGACTACGCTACTTGATTTTCCTTTATTTAAAGTTTTAAGATGATTTGATCTAAAACATCGCCAGTTGTTTGCTCACTTGTCCTCTATCTTTATAATGCTGACAAAATTATGCAGATAATACAGTATAATGCCTACAGTTCGTAGAAACCAAACACTTGGTTGAAAGTATGCCGAATGCAACGGGCGAAGAAGATAGATACAGTAGTTATAAGAAAAACGTTGCTGAGCACAATCTGTACTCTGTGCCTACTGAAACGGGCCTAAGCTTAAACATTTACTTCAATTTTCAATTTATTTACTTGCGAAGAATGTAATGTCTTTAATGAATTGCCAATTGTGTTTTACTTTAGCTAATCAGGAAAACTGATGAACACAAAGGTTCTACGGTTACTAGTTTATGTTGGGATTTGTCCTCTACCAAACTATTTATTGGTGATAGCAAAGGATGTGTTTCTGGCCTTGAACACGGTACCGGAAAGGTTAGTTATATGGGCGAGCAAGGATTAGACCCAACTTATCTGAGATTATGACGTCACGAGGCGCCACAACAAAACTGAGTTATCACGCGCCTGGAGTTATTTGTCCACGTTCCTCTAACTACGTATTAGTATAAAGGGCGAAAATTTTTAATTTCAATTTAAAATTGAGTAAAAAAGTGTTTCGCATAAAAATAATAGAATTACTCAACATTTTCCAGTCACTATGGAAATGAAGGAAATGATAATTCAGTTCTGTCGAGGATATGGCTTCTGATTGGTTGACTCAGATCAGCTGGGTGTTACAGGACGATTTTTCAATTTGGTTTACCTGACTTGCAACGTCTCTTATACATCTCTCTGGTTATAGATTCGTCGTGTTCATACTATTATTAAGGAAGGACCAGCAATTGTGCAATTGGTAAGTATAAAGCTGGAAGTCACAAAACCGTTTGCTGCCTCAGACGAAATTAAATCTATATAATTTCAGGGGTTTTCTCATGGACTTTACGAAAAGAATGTATCATAAACACAACAATAATATTTGAAACATTACAAATGCGTCATTTATGCAATGAGCATATGTTTTGGCAACTGTGCAAGTAATGTTCAACCCAGTTCAACCTGGGATTTTGCCGCCGAAGCGTATTGGAAGCCTAAGTACTAGTTTAGCAACCATGTTGGTTAGAAATCTCGTAACTAAAGCCCGCGATTCTTCAGTCGAGGGGTCGCCAGCTCTGGTAACGAAATTGGTTGGTTAATATCCCCATGAGGGGCCATTACAAGCTTATATTATTATTACAAGCTTATATTATTATTACAAACTTATATAGCGCTTATAGCACATATAGATCTAAGCGCTTTAATTTTTTATGAAACCTTAAATTAGCTATGCTTTCCTACTTGATGTATTATTACGTTTTACAGGATTTTGCAGACGAGAAATTGCTGGTCTCGAATACCAAAAGATGTGTTTATTATTATCAAAGCAAGTACGTTTATTCTCATATTAATTATAAATGCATGAACTGAATACCAAAAGGTCTTCTCTTTCCTCCGAACACTGACCCACGTGCTAAATATTGTTTGACACGTGACCCCCTTTTTCTTCTCTAGTGAAAACCTTGTACAAATTGGTACAAAGGCACGGTACGTCCAAACATTTCGTAACATTTTCGCCGTTATGGTGTAGTTGCTGGCTACGTTTAAGAGTATTGATGAAACATATATCTGCAACAGGATTATTTATACATTAGATAGACTGGACTTGTCAAATCTTCTAGCCGTTTCTATGGACTAGTTAAAATACGAGCGGTTGTGAAATAATTAAATTAAGCTTAATTTATATTAGGGCATGTGTAACAAAAGTTATGAATACTAATTCACATATAATTCCAATAGGAAAACAAATGTTGGTAATAAAAGATACATGTTGACTATAAGAGAATATCAAACATGATTGAGTTTTTAAATATTCTTTTTATTAATTGTTTAGCGATGGCCCGTTTGGAGCATGCTTTCATTTTCGCTCGAGTGGAGACCAAGCTGTTGCATATTGTGCTAGACCAGGCGCAAGACTGTGGGAGGTTTGTTGATAAAAGAGACGTTCGTACAATTACCAGTGTCCAGTTTGCATCTTTAAATTTATCGATGAACCTGCCTCGTCCCCGTTAGTGTGAGTTAAGACGCGCGGTCATGGTCAGTAATAAAGGCAAATATTTAACATCTACTGGGACTTTGATTAGTGTGACGTCATAACGTGGGATATTATACACTTAATGTATGCTCCCGAGGGAAATAGTGAGTTTTGTTTTCCCAAGAGTCTGAATGTTTCCCGAGACGAGGTCGAGGGAAACATTGAGACTCGAGGGAAAACAAAACTCACTATTTCCCGAGGTAGTGTACATTAAGTGCTTTGTTATATAGGAACGAAAACATACATGTTACACAACAATTTCATTACAAAAAACACTTTGTTATGACAATATGCGGGCAACAATTTTTCACTTGTTTCCCTGGCGGGAAACATTGCATTTATTTAAATTCATGTGACTACGAATGAACCAATAACATTTAAAATACACAGCACCTATATAACAAGGCTATTTATCACATGTTATCCAGCTCATCTGACATAATGACGTCATGGTATGTCACAAAAAAATTGAGTTATCATGTGCTAGGAGGGATTCGCCGGATTTTTTTTCCAAAAGTTTAAAAGGTGTGAAAATTGAAAACTTTGTGCAAAAACGAAAGAATTACGTAAAAGTTTGAAGTATAAACGTTACACGAAAAGAAGGACACGATGACTCACGTTTTGTCGAGGTTCTGGCTTCTAATTGGATAATTCTTCTTTCTCGGATCAGCTGGATGACGTGTAGCGTCTTAAAAGGTCGTTTTCCAAGCATTGACGTCACCTGTTAGAGTGACTGTTTCTTTCATAGCCATTAGCCAATCAGTAGCTGTGAATCTTTTAAAAAATAACGATACCATTTTCCCAAGAAGAAAAATTTTAAATTCCTTGTAAAGGATACGTCGCAGTACTGTCGAAAGGAAAATATGTCATATAAGTACAAAATAACCGATTTGCATAACATTTTGGAACATATAATGTGATAAAGAAACTGAATTTCTTATGTTTCAGGTCGATAGTTCTGGTCAGGTATTGTCCACCCAGCAATACAAGAAATTCTTAGCAGTGCCCAGTACACCGTTCATAGGACATTTGTCTGGGTATGATATTGCTTAATTGATAAGCTTTATTCAGCTATTTTTTAAGTCCATACAAGTCTTTACAGATTTGAATATGTAATGTGAAAGTACCAAAATACCGCAGGTTCATATTTGTATTAACAGATGAATTATTGTACGACAAAGTTTTACCCCACCACAACCGACTTTGTTCAGTAGAATGATAGTAGATAGCACTATTTATAAGTTATACTCGGTAAGTTGGTGTCACTGTAAGTGTTCATTTCTTTGCAGTCTAAACGTGATAGCCACGTTATCGCTATTCTGCATTACATTGTTTCCATGTCAAGTAATAACTGTCAGCACACTCTCATATATGCCTTAAGCTGTCTTAAATGTCGTGGGCAATATCTGGTTATCTGAAATAAGTAAGGTTAATAGTAATGTTTTCGATAATATTTCTTATTTTAGGAAAGAAAAAAGCTTGGTCAACAATTGTGATACACCCAAATTTCGAAAACTTCTTGTCATACGGTATTATGCCTAATTTGATGTTGTTCACGCAAGTAAAATCTTAGCTCCCTCTAAGAGGTCGAACTTTTTACTTGCCAAATCGAATGCATATAAACTTAAACAAAGGCTTTAGTCGTGAGTGTCGTGAACATGTCAAGGTGGCTGATGTGATAGAATATTTCTATGTGCGTGCAGTCAACAATGGCCGTTTTGAATACAGAAATAAAGAATACAGAATACAAAATTAACATCCAAACTATTTCTCGTCGGTGAAAATGTTTTGTTCACGACAATTATGACTAAATGGAAACCATGCAGGCCATAGGAATTATTTCAGAAAAGAATATTTCGACGTATCACTGATTTCGACAAAAGTTAATAGAAGTTGATAAAATTTTACGGCGCCCCCCCCCCCTGTCCTCCAGCCCCATACCCTACGCCTATAGAGTGTGGTATCAAGCATACAGAGTAATAGTCCGGCAACTTTTGATTTAGGCAATTAGAAGAAAAAGTGCATACTAAATTTAGTAAAATTACCAAGTTTGGCTGCAAAATATGTAAATTACGGAAAATATAGCCATGCGAAGTTAGCAATTTTGTATACTTTTTTAATATGGCTGGAAGTGTGTAGCTAAATTAGTATACTAAAACGCTTCCGGCCGTAGTAAAAAGTATACAAAATTGGCCACTTTACATAGCTATATTTTCCGTAATACTTAAGTTCATTCCGTAAGACATTTTGCGGCCAAACTTGGCAATTATGCTAATTTCGATATGCTCTTTTTAGCTGTGGTGATTTATTTCCTTCCTGTTACCTAGATCATAAGTTAGTTTATTATCCATTATAGTCCCTCGGTATTTTGTACATGTCGTTTGGTAGCCAGGACTTCGGGCTATGACTTGGACTTTATTTACATATCAGACGAAAAGAAATCCAAGAGCTCCGACTAGCATATTGTAGTATACCGTATTTAGGTTGTTACTTAATGTGTTTCTTTTTTTTCTTCATGTAGAGATGCGTATCTGATGACATGGACAAACGAGACCATCATCATCATTGACCCGATTCTTGGAAAGTTGATTCTTTGGAATAGTCAAGTAGAAAGTATGTCTGTTTTATGAGAGCCTGTTATTTTCCTGTGAAATACCATAGATGCATGTTCTATACGTTAATGAACGAAAAATCTCAGAGTACGATATAGGTATAGCGACAGTGTTTGTGAGATTGATCGTAGAAGTTTTACATTTCTGGCTAATTGTTAAACTTTTTTTTTTGCGCCAATTTTAATTGTTCTAATTCGGCTCCTAGGCAAGAATGTTAAAAGCTAAATAAAAGCAATTTGCTCCGAAACATTGTAAGATTCCCAAAAGCTTTGAAACGAGAGTCAAACGGAAAAATACTTCATTTAATTAAAATTGATTTGTTTTGTTTTCGCACAATACGCTTCTAGTTCATAAACTTATATAAAGCCGGTTTTCCACCAGCGATATTTTTCCGCGCGAATCGACATTTTGCTTTTGTCTCAGAGCTCATAACTGCAACCATCTGGAACGATAAAGGATTTCAAAATGAATATTATAGAGGGGCAATCGCACCTTGTGTCGTGCAATCTCGGTATAAAATCAAACTTGTTATCAAATTTTCGTATCCAACTTTTGAAATCATGAAACTATCACGCGTTTGATTTTATAACAAATTGCTTTCCACCATGTGCAATGACCATTAATGGTGAGCTACTAAATATCTAGTGTTTGCCCAGTGTTTGCCTCATGAAATATTTTCAAACTATAAATATTCTATTCACGAAACAGATATTGAAGATATATGGTGTAATCGTCAAGATATGTTTGTGTTTCAAACTGGTGGTTCTCTGACTCGTTTCTCACTCATCCCTCCCAAGGAATGTGCAGCCAAGTTATTTGTTATGGGGGAATGGTTACAGTGCTCCAAGGTATATATACTTGTTGAAATGTTATGGTTTTATGCACGCACATCCAAGGGGTGGTATTTTAAATTGTCATACAATGCATGCTTATAGCTTTGACGGTAGCAATGCCTGTGTATTTTATGTTTTCGTTCCCAAATCGTTAAAACGGTTAGACTAATGCATGAAGTCGCTTAAGTCATGTTACTTAGAATTCCGCAAGATGGACAATTTTTTGGCTCCAATATTGTATAACAATGAGATCAATAACAATGGCACCATCGAGGTTAAATTGGTTTACAGCAACTTAGGCCTGGATTCAAAAAGCTCGCTCACATCCATACTCGTGCATTGAATGTGACATTCCGTTATTGTTTGTCAGCAATGCGAAGGTGCTTGCTTAATCAATGGAAAGATTCGAAGTGAATCAAGCTCTTATTCAAAATACCGTCATTGATGTGATTGAGATCTTTAGAATACAGGCGATAAACTCCTTTTCATGAAAAAGGGAACTTTTCATATACTACCCTAGGTTCTTATATCCTGCAAGTCACAAATCATTCCTGTTGCTGCGAGAGACCAGGTGCCAGAGTTTGTTGTACGACGAGCGAGAGAAATGCTTAACGATGACCTGCAACATGAGGTATTTATGAATAACTCAGTTCAGAAAACTCTGTTCAAAACTTCCCTGGGAATTATTAACGTTGCGTTTTTTTTATACACCATGCATGTACATCAATTATGAAAACTTCTCTCTGATTCACAAATTTTGTTTCATCTCCCAACTATACCCAGGTATTGCGCTGCAGATTTCGACAATACATGAATTTACCCATGACCATGCAATAAACCAAACTATAAAATAGATATAAATTAGCTTTTTAAACATTCTTGACCAAAAAGTATATCCAGAAACTAGGCGACACGTAGACTTTCTTTGCTTCGATTTAAATTGTGAAAACACATTTTTTCTATTCAAACTAATTGAAACTTTGTTCTACTCAGGAAATTGTTGGTGAGCTAACAGAACTCGAACAAAATTTGGAACGTCTTCCAGTTGATTCAGCAGGCGAAGTTAGTGAAATCCTCGGAGCTGCATCATTCGACGATTCCGAATCTCACAGCATTGCAAGTGACTTCACGAGCAATGCCGACAGCGACAGTGTAATGGACAGTTCTTTGGACGCGGGTATGGGAGACACTAACAAAACTGACAAGAAAGAAAAATTAACAGTAAAGCTAAAAAATGCTTTCAAAGATCAGCTGAAGGAGTTCTCACTGGACACGGTGTTGTTAGCTGGTGCACACGCTGCCGGTCATATGAATCTGACGAATGCATTCGCCTTTGGTGCTGGCGGAAATGTCAAGGTTTTTAATTATAATTGATCATTTTATTTTATTTAACGGACATTGAGCTTGTTATATTCCACAGAGTAGACCAGAATGGTTTAATAGCGAGATTCATATTTGACTTCCACTATAACGCTACCTCTCGCTGATCTATTACGCTAGTGATTGGTTAATCTAATAGCAGTCTTGCATTTGATTGGTTGATGTTCCCAGCTATCGTCCATGTTCCCTCAAAGCACTCTTGATTGGTTAATCTGATAGAGTTATCGCATTTGATTGGTTGTTGTTCCCTCACAGCACGTGGATTGGCTAACATGCTATAGTTATCGAATTTGATTGGTTCGTGTCCCCTCAATGGTAGCGTTAAAGTAGTAATCGAAGTCGAATCTGAACCCGGCTAATCTTTTTTGTGCTATGAATAGAAAATGAATTAAAAACTAGATTTCAAAGGGTATGGCAATGAAAGTTATCCTTGTCTCATGTGAAGGAACGTTAATTTAACCACGTCAACTGCACGACCTGCCTAAACCAGAGGAGGTATATTAAGAGTGTGGCTTGCGCGGTTGTTTCTTACTGCTATTTCGTATATTACTTTTAGCCTTTCAGTCCTTCTTGGGACGTGAAGAATGCAAGGTATAATACAAGATCGCCATCAGATAGTGAAGGGTTTCCTGAAGATACGTCCAATGATGAAGCTGCATCTTCACCATCTCATGCCAGGAATGAGAATGTTGGCTCGATGGATGACGTTGAGTCGGATACGGAAGAAAGGTTTGAAAATAATTATTTCTCATCTTCACGAATTATGATGAAACACTGTCGATTGCACTAACATGTTTAAAATCCTTCCCTCTTCACTGCGCTTTCGGGAAAACATATAGCTAAATATTTAGCCTAATTTGTAAACAATCATTGAAAAATTAGTTGCATGAAGACACAAGTTACACTTACAAATCTCACAGCATATTTGGCCAAGCCGTATTGTTTTATATTGATTTGTTGTCATACAAACTACGCTGATTATATACGCTCTGCTTTATCAGGAAATACCAAGTATTTACATTAAATTCTATATATATTTAGACTAAAATTTTAAAACACATACATACAGTTTTGTCATTTTGTCATAGAAAAGCTCCAGTGGTGTATAAAGAACTGAGAAAAAAGAAAATGAAAATTCATACTGTTGGTGAGTAATGTTAGAATACCACCATGAACGTCTGCATTTTTACAGCCTGCCTCTGGTATTTTAACTATTGTCCTCCACTCGAATCTAATCCTAAAACGTCTTTTTTAAAGATTTTTCTATTTTCATCTATATTCGTCACAGATATTGTGAGTCCATTGCAACCCACAGATTTGATCAAAATGGAGAAGTCAAGTAAGTGTAGCTGCATTCGTGTATTTTACTATCGGGCTTACTGTAAAGTCGTTAACGCGCGCGGCTTAATTGGCCATTTCCCAATCGAGCCGGGTACTGGGTCTAGTCGCGAACCGCAAAGCATCTATGGACTGTTTGGAGGGACAGGAAATATAAGTCTGAAATCATTTGTCCCTCCAAACAGTCCATAGATGCTTGCGGCTCGCGACTAAACCCAGTACCCTGCTCGATTGGGAAATGGCTAATTGTCCTGCTTAATGATATAATTTATGTTTTGTTTTTTAATCACCTTGCTTATTTATTTGCGAAAATCAATAACGTGTTTAATCCAATCCAAACTCATTGTGTTTATTTAATTTTCCTGAAGCGGACATATGTATATATTATAGCTAATTATATTATTATATAATGCATATAGATATTTGTTGTATATTTTCCAGAGGAATTGTATAAAGATGATTTTGAAAAGAATGCTGATCTTTCAAAAACACCTGACAGCCAGGTAATTTTTTTAGTTTAAAACTATACTCAAGATCTTAATACTATATAGCTATTTCGTTATTTTGTCAGGTCAAATTAGATAAGATTATTGACTATATAAATTATCGTCTCGTGCATTCTCGTCACAAAGACAGTTCAGTTTGAATTCGTGTTATTTTCTGAAGGGCCTTTTAAAAACAACTTTCCTAAGAATAAAAGAGCTTAGAGCTAGATTAAACAATTTTTATGTTAGCTATAGCTGTCCCAGAGAATATTAGAGAATATTTGCTATAATAACGTTTTCGCTAATCTCGCGTGCATCGTACTTTAGGGTACTTTTCAAAGAAATTAACCCTCTTTGGAGACACACATTATATACGATATATATGTATTTTAGGTAACTGAGAAGATAAAACAAGGTTCTCTCGACTCATCTTTGAGCTCTAATGATAGCATCCCTGGAAGAGAATCGAATATTCTTTCGCGCTCAGTCGCAGCGAAGCAAGAAGTGGTACAAAAAGCACGTAAATTTTTGAAGCGGTTATCTCCAGAAGACAAAGACTTGGGACAAGAAGAACAAACAACGGCGATTAGTAACAAAGGATCTAAGGGAATGTCAACGAATATTACGTCACCTCTTGAGGTGAAATCGTTAGTGATAATTTCTCGCGAGACAAGGTTAGATTTTATAGGGTTGCTTTTAACTTCTTAATCGCGATAGGTTATTGGCCACATGTCACGTGTGTTGGAGTAGTTTTTTATTAGAAATGACACAGGAACAAGTTCATTTGCTTCCGGTATAATGTCGAACTTAAGGCCCTGTTACACTTGCAATGCAAGCCTCGCCGTGCAAGCAGCTAAAAATATTTGCTGGTTTTAATAAACACGGCTAGAATAAGCTTATATCTAAATCTCAGTCTTTGCATGCGACCAATATTTTATCGTTCATGCAAAATATGTATTTTCTTAATAGAAAAAAGATCCGTGAAACTCAAAAACTTTACGATCCGAAGGCTCTAAAATCAATCCTAGGCGATTGGATTGCGTACTTGGAGAAAGCGAACAGTGCAGTTGAATTAGTTTACCCCAGAAATAAAGACACAAGAGACTATTATGTGACGGATGTTGGAAAAGTTCTTTCCCCGTCTACCAAAGTTGATCTTACAAGATTCTTGAATCCTAAAGATACAGCTATTGTTGCAGAACTCACGATGATGTGTTTTAAGATGGATATATTTTCATCAAGTGGTACGAATGATTGTAACTTCGACGAAGAAATAACGAAGGAAGATTTATTAACTTGTGATCATTGCAAACAGAAACAAAACAATGTCGTTTTCACTGGTGAGACCGTTGCACCGGACGATGAACGGCCTCTGGTCGAGGCTTTAGCACGCGATCGTGCGAAGACAAAATTCCTTTGTGTCAATTTTCAACTCTTGGATTTCCAAACGTTGAAAGGACGTGTAATATCGGAGTGCCTCAAATACAGGGATTTGCTGAATGATCTTTTGCGTTGTCTGGACGGTAATATATGCCGTAAATAATTATATAACTTTCTATTACAATGTACAGTTATTGCACGGTCATGTGCGTGACCAATTAGTGAGTGTGAAATCTATAAAGTTGGTCTGTATATTTCGTACAGAATTATAGCTTTATGAGACTTAACGGGAGATCATACCTCATAACGTTCCAGGAATTTCTATAATCGCCACTGAATTTCATTTGTGTCCGCAGCATTTTCACCATATATAAAGATATTTATAAAGGCCATTGCTCATTGCGATTACGTGTGATGTGTCGTTTCTGTACTCATGCATGTATATGTCCCAATTTAGAGAGGCAAATCATTATTTAGAGAAGCATGCATGCATATTCATTGCATGTATAAATCACGTTTAAATATCTTTTAACTATATAGCTTTTAGTTCAGAAATTTCCATTTGCATTTTTAAGATTTCACTGAACGAGATGCTGTCGATGATGCCATAGATATCGGTGATACAAAAGTCGCGTTACAGCTGATAAAAGACAAAGCGGAAAACTATCAAAAAAGACTACCACGACATGTGTTTAGGTAAGAAGCGGTGAGTTTTCCTGCTCGCTCGTAGTATCGTAAAACGCCTGTGGAGGGAGTAGTTCTAAATATGTAACTAGATAATACTTTCCTCAATAAAAAGTTATAGTTTTGAACAAGTTTTAGCTCGGAAATATGGTCTATATTTTTTCAATACACTTCAAATGATAATAGAATGAAAATGGAATGATGATCATGTTTTATTTGACCCAATTCGCAACCGCGTACAATTCTTTTGAATTTGAAAAACCTTTTTATGAAAATTCAATAAGGATGTAGAAAAAAGCATTCGTTTTCGTTATAATTCTTATCTTTCTTATATGAACATTAGCAAATGAACCATAATTGAACAAGGAGGAATTTCGTTTTAGACCAATCAGCAGCGTTGTTTACATTTTCAGTAACCCAATCAGAATGCATAATTTTGCAGAATTAAGGCATTCTGATTGCCTAAAAAATGTAAACAAATTTGTCGATTAGTTTAAAACAAAATTTCTCCTTATTTTCTCATCAGTACATTCTCTTCAGTGCTGCGTACTTTAGCCTTTTCAGTCTCAAAGAACTTGTAGCTACCATCTCTTCATTTCCGTAGATTGTACTACTTGGTTCCACGAGACGTGGCAAAGCTGGGTGCAGAGATCTATCCATATCTTCATCCGTGGGAAATCGTTCTTCTTTGTTTGTCAACGTCAGCTAACTTGTACAGTAATTGCAGTGATTTTCTTATTTATGTCACCCATCTTATTCAAAATCATGCAAAGAAAAGTGAAAATAAGTAAGTGTTTATAATTGCAAATTATAGTTAATTTCACGCATACTGTTGGCAGGAGAATTAAGCTCTCATTGCTGGATCAATTAGAAAACTTCCATGAATATATATATATATATATATATATATATATATATATATATATATATATATATATATATATATATATATATATTATATTGATTTTTTAAATCTTGTAATCATTGCTGTTTCAACCATTTCATTACTGATAATATATATATTATATTGATTTTTTAAATCTTGTAATCATTGCTGTTTCAACCATTTCATTACTGATATCACAGTATTAAGGTGGCTCCATACAGTTTCTTGAAATGGTTAAATGCATATAATGTTGAACTGGGAAATTAAGCGAAATGAGAGGATATACCTCATTAAGCTTCATTATCATTGTTTGAAATGCATTCGACGCGACCAAAACGCGACGTATAACCTAGGCCTTAATTTTATGTCCATCTTCACATTTCACAATTGTGTTACAAAAATCGTTTATAAGATATTTGTTATTGCTAAAATAGATTTGATGTGTTAAATGAAATGGTTCGTTCAGAAGAATTTATGATACTTGTTTATCACTCTGCTCTTATACTGGATGATTTAAGTGACAGTGATGTGCGATGCCATTGTCGTTGGCCAAGGTAAGCTATAAGCTTTTTCAAGCGCAAATCCTTATATTTCTTGATCACGTTTGTGTATGTTCGTAATTTCGGAAAATGTGTTATCGAGAATTTTCAGCGTCTATTACCTTCCGGCCATTACCTCGTGGACATGCATTTTCCGTAAAGGCGGCTTTCTATTTTTACACTAGGCTGAATTTTTCGATCGAATGAAATCCAATCTTTTGAAATGATTTTCTTTCAATTGTGACCGGTCAAAGGATTCCTCTACGGTCGAATTCTCAGAAACGAAAAGAAAATCAGCCTAGTGGAAAACTGACCTAAGGGCCTGCGATCCATAGGAGATGAGAAAAGGAAAAATTTTTAACAAAAACGGGGGGGGAACGATGCTCAAAGACAAATGTAATTTATTTTGTCATCATTTAAGATGTCTACACAGAAGTATTAGGTAAAAATAGTTCAATATTTCTTTGCTAATACGAATTCATGCATTTCTTGTTTGTTGTGAGTGCAAATGCATTCCTTATGCCGTAATTTAATAACCTCGCTTGCTTGATTTTTACTGAGAAATAGCGGACTTCGGTCTTTTTTTTACAATTTAAATGAGAAGTTATATATATAATATTTTTAAAATCTATAGACCTGGTTCCCATCAGACATCGTTTCAATATGAAGAACTGATGATAGACATCATAAAGAATTTTGATTCGAAAAACGACACCGCAGCTTTAAAAAGATTGCTCAAAATTTCTTATAACCACGGGTATGCCCATTCTTTCACTTGTTATTTTGATATTACAGTTAGATTGTTGTATATGTCTGCATGCCGTTCGGTGTATTATAATATAATAGTTATGCCATGCAGATTTTGAATTATTCAATTTTTTCATGCAATTATACACGGAGTTGTAATTGTAAAACGTTTTTTATTAAAGTTTCTAAAACGTTCATATATATACGTATATAGAAAATCATCCAAGTGGATTTTTCAAAATGGCGGCGAGTTGTTTTACATTATTTTGACGAAAATATTGTAATTAAAAGCACATAAGAATTGAAAAAAATTAGGCCTAAAATTATTTCGAGCTAAAAAAACTATGTACGTTGTGAAACGCTTTTTGACTTTATTTTGCGAAAACATTGTTCTATATTTAAATCGCCATAAAACTGTCAAGATAACGAATAAATGTTAAATAGTAATGCATATTCTTCAGATATTGGCAAGGATGCATAAAACTCCTCGTGATCCTTGGGCTCCGAATAGACGCCTTAAAACTGTCTCTTCAACTTGGGGATATTTCTTTGCTGAATAGTATTCAGATTTGGGGTATGTTTATGTTATTTCTGAATGATAGTTAAAAGGTTTTGGTTTTTAGCCTGTCCTTGAATTCTTGAATTCTCAGTCAGTAGCATAAGAGTTGTAATTGTTCCATAACTATTCTACTTTGGTTTTCAACAGGTTGGCTTCCACAATCACCAGCGGAATGGAAGTTTGGGTTACAATATTTAGCCAGATTTTTAGTAAAGCTTTCTAGTAATTTGAATGAAAATAACGAAATATCGGCACTTGGAGAAAGTGAAAAAACTAAACTTCTCTTGGGAGACGATTCCAACGAAGGCATGTCTAAAGATGTACCGTTTTATAACGAAATTGAGCACATGAACAATTGTGAAGACGGATTTTTAGAAGAAACACCTGGCGGGAATTTGGACAATTTGACACCACATACTTGTATCAAGTCCCTAATGTCAGCAGAACACCGGAGTTTGTATATTGACATGAAGTCTTATGTGCTTCTTATGTTGAAAAAACTTGGAGCACAACAGACATTAAAAATTATTTCTGATACGCAACTTCAAAACGTTTTCATGATGCAAGAGTTTTATTACAAGTGCATTCTTAGCTCTCAATTGGAAAATCATCAAAGGTTGGTCGAGCTATATCTATTGTTATATATTTTTCTTCTGTATCTGATTTGGGACATATAAAACATTGTTAATTTGCCTCATATATTAATTTCGACTTTTAAGGCCTGTTTCAAAATTCAAACGTACGTCATGCTTCTCATTTGCTTGCTTATGAGAACAAGACGTTTAAAACAGGCGATATTCAAGATTATAAAATTTCTTTTTTCTCTATCAACGGACATAAATGCAAAACAACATGTGGTAAACAATGACAACCTAGTTGAATCATTCCTCAGCACTCGGGTCTTTATTACGCTATTCTAGTCGTGCACGACAAATAACTGAGATATGCCTGCATTTATTATAGCCAATTATCTCATCGCATTTTACGTGAAGTTAATGACCACGTGTGGTCCTCCAAATCTGCTGCCTTAGTTCCAGAGGTATGTACTGTGTCTTGCTGATTAGACGGACCGGAAACAGCATTTTTAATACTAGAAATAATAAGAAAAAATGCAGTCTCGTTGGTGTAAATTGCAAGAAGCATTATCAACGAAACATATATCAGCCAAACAAATAACGAAGAAACAATTACAGTCTATACCAATTCGAGATACAGAAATTTTATTTCAGTCTATCCAATTGGCCATTCCGAAGTTGTGGTAGTGGATTTGTACTAGTGAGGCCGACATGGCATTAAGGGACTACTTTTGGGACGTAAACAAAAGGTACGTCCCAAAAACAGCCCCATGACGCATTGTCAATATTATTACCAGCTCTTTACTGCAACTTCGGAATGGCTAATAGACCTTTCATATAATGACGTCAAACGCGGAAAGTCTGATGTTACACGAAATTTGATTGGCTCCACAAAACTATCGAGCCAATCAAACTTCGTGTAACAGCATACTTTCCGCGTTTGACGTCATTATGAAAAAGGTCTATTCGATAAATATTTTACATTATTGAATGACGTTGAACATGATATGAAAAATGACCTGACTGATGCTTGTCCCAGTATCAACTGGAGCCGAAGGTTGAGTTTGATAACAACAATAATTTGTTTTATTTATTTAAAAGAATGAGCATTGCAACTTGTACACATTCCCGATCCTTTCGACGTTGATGTCTTTGTGTGACGTCATAACGTAGCATAGGATACTGTAAGCACACCAAGTACTTTGGGCACACGATTATAATACCGCATCGTGGTAAATATTTCCAAATAAAAAAAATTCTTGCCGAAAGCGGTAATATTCAACGACCGAGCTGTAATTAAGGAATACTTAATGGTTTTCCGTGTAGGATAGTGTAGGATAGTATAGAATAGTGTAGCATAGTGTAGGATAGTGTAGGATAGTGTAGGATAGTATAGAATAGTGTAGCATAGTGTAGGATAGTAATCATTGCACGCAGGATGTTGCGAGAGTTTCGGAAAGCGTAAAAATTCGAGCAACATCCCAAGTGCAAGGAAAACCATTCAGTATTTGCTTTATATAAAATTCCCACACGAAGGCATTTAAAAAATCCGTGCATGATTCTCTCGTTCCTACACGGGCATCGACCAATCAAATTGCGTCCACAAATACGTCTTCAGATTATCTCAAGCAATATTGCATCTCCGTTCGCAGATTCATTTTATGAAAGAGTTGGAAGTTTTAAACAACACGAAAGAAGTAAGTTATGACTAATGTTATAGAATGAGAAAATCGAATGCGTACGGTGAATTTTCACAAACTTTTGGCAATTTTTGGCAATAAAATAACAAACTAAGCAATGTATTTCGTCTTTAGTTCAAACCTTTTGTACACAAGAATTTTATTAATATAAAGATTCGCATTTTGAATGTGAATTTTCATTTATATTAATTGTGATAAATATCCCTAAATCATTTTTATTTACTAGGAATTGTTCAGTGGAAAGCAACCAGTGAAATATTGCCGCAAATTTGAAGATGCTTCTGGTATGGAACCATGTCTCACGTTTATGCTTATTAGAGTGCATAAATTTCCTCAAACTTCAAACCTCTACCATGCACACAATGAATTTCACTACAGCCTGCATGATTGCTGATTTAAATTTGCTGAAAAAAAATGGAAGCTATATTCTTTTTTCTAATTTTTCAGCTTGCAACTGGGGAACTAACTTGCCGTTGGCTGAGTAAGTATTGAATCCAACAATCAGTAAAACTCTTGAAATGTCCAACGTTTTAGCAAATATGATATAACAATTGTCTGAAAAAAACTTTTTGACATTTCGACCTCCATCTCGTCAGAAAGATCGAAACGTCGTGGAGACGAAGACGCTGTAACGCTGACTCCCGGTTTGATTGCAATATTCAACTTTAGTTGTTTCGTCTCTTGAATTTGTGGCAGACATGCAATATTCATATCGACCTATGAAACGGACCAATTTCAGCTGCTATTTCATTTCATTTTATTGAATACAAGGTTTGATGTATGAGCATGCATGGTGATCTGGAAGGTTTTAGAGCTGCATGCTTTGTCGCCTTACCATTTTAAATTCTAAATCTTCTTCTCTGCGATTGCATCTAATTAAAATAAATTTTAATTTGTGCGTTGAATTTTAAAAAGACTTGTTTGGTTACCTCATGCACCCTTCGTTAAATCTTGTGTAAACGAGCTCATGTGAAAAGCCTCTATAAGTGTTAATCTTTTGTAAACGGGTTGATACACCCACCTATATAGGAACAAGCTTTGCTTGATGATTGGATAATGATAAAATTGAAACGTAATGAACTAAAGAAATTGATTTCTAAAAGAACGAATCATAAACACTGTTCACTATTTTTACAAAAAGCCAATCAAAACTCGATCGTATTAGGTAGATACTTTTGTGTCGTATAAAACATGTTGTACATATTTTTTATACTTTTCTATTTCACTGTTAACATCAGATCATCCTGTGTCGTATGTCCTTTGCCTCTGTGTGAAAAATTACCTGGTAATACTGAAGGTGTCATTATTTTCCCATGTGGTGCGTATATTTAAGATTTCTATGTTGCTTCAAACTCTCGCAGTCCAGTTTATGTATAGAAATTTTGCTGATACCTTTTTTTGTATACTTTGGTATCCCCGTGTTGGATCATTTGAATTCAAGCTACAAACAATATATTACGTTGCAATTTTAGTATGTTTCACTTATTGCCTTTGATTTTTTGCTTTTAGGTCACCTGTATCACAAAGAATGCAGTTCAGAAAATTATTGCTTGGCTTGTTTCCACAATGAGGTTCAGATACCTTGCGCGGATGCGCAAACGGGTGCTACTGCTGCGGTCTTCTTTTAATTAATTCTGCTTTCTAATTGATGTTGAAATGATATTGTTTTTCTTTTAAAAAACGAGGAACAGCCTTTCGGATTACCTTTTTCTCTTGCAACGAAACATGCAATGCAAAGAAGGCAGAGGTAGCTTTTTTAGGGCTGTTTTCCACTAGCTGAATTTTTCGATCGAATGAAATATTTCGTTCATTTTTCTTTTCAATTGCGAGAAGTCGGCTGAAGCGGACTACCTTGACCGGTGACAGTTAGAAAATTAAGAGAAAAATTTCTGTGCATGAATACGCCAATGAGTGAAAGTGCACGAAAGTTGTGAAAGTGCACGAAACTTCGGAGATTACATCCGATACTTGAATGACCAATTTTGAACTTGAAGGGCCAGTTTGTTGTTCATATTCCCTCGCTAACGATTTTCTAAAAAAGACCTGGTGCAGTACAAAAAGAATTTTCCATTTTCTTCTCTTAGTACTTCCTGAAATTACCTTGGCTTTGATGCTATGCACATCGTCGCTTCTTTTTTGGGTTTATAACCAGACACCAGTGAGCCATGGATAGATGCTTTTTCCAAATATATTGATATCGTCGCTCTCTTATCTTTGACCTTCATTTCTAGTAGTACGCGCGTGCTGATTGGTCGAAAAGCGTATTTCTATAACTGTACAGAAACACGGGAGTTTTCCCGCCGAACTTTACAAGCGAAGTAATGTAATGAGAATTTGTAATTGATCGAATTATAATATTTGTACAAAATCTTTTTATTGAGTTATGTTATAAAATAAATCTTTTCTATATAGTTATAGAAACACTTGTGGGAGTTTGGGAGAACTCGAAATAACGTGAAAAAACTCGTCCCACGGGCTCATTCTCCCACTGATTATTTCTTGTTCTCCCAAACTCCCTTTCTATTTCTTAAGTATTATGGCCGGAAGAGTGCAGCTAAATTACTTTGCTTGGCTATATTTTCGGTACTCTACAATATTTCGTAGCCAGACTCGGCAATTTTACTAATTTCAGTATGCTCTTTATAGCTGTGGTGATTTTGCTACCTAGATAACAAATTGGTCTGTTTTGCAAGTGGTCCATATTCCACAATCTCGTAACCGGAGATTGGATATTTCGAACTTTCAACAGCCAATCAACAATGCTGATATATTGTTAGACTGTGCTCGTGCATACACGCACGAGCACCACGACCTGGCACGTTGCAATTTTAGTATGTTTCACTTATTGCCTTTGATTTTTTGCTTTTAGGTCACCTGTATCACAAAGAATGCAGTTCAGAAAATTATTGCTTGGCTTGTTTCCACAATGAGCTTCAGATACCTTGCGCGGATGCGCAAACGGGTGCTACTGCTGCGGTCTTCTTTTAATTAATTCTGCTTTTCTCTTGGCTATATTTTCGGTACTCTACAATATTTCGTAGCCAGACTCGGCAATTTTACTAATTTCAGTATGCTCTTTATAGCTGTGGTGATTTTGCTACCTAGATAACAAATTGGTCTGTTTTGCAAGTGGTCCATATTTCACAATCTCGTAACCGGAGATTGGATATTTCGAACTTTCAACAGCCAATCAACAATGCTGATATATTGTTAGACTGTGCTCGTGCATACACGCACGAGCACCACGACCTGGCCACGTGGTTCGCCACGAACGAAAACAATTACCAATGATATATGATATTTACGACCAAAAGAGTCATGTGATTGTCACTGAGACTGAATCTTAGACTGAGCAGTGAGCACATACGATTTGTCATACATATTTTTTGCTCAAAGGAACCAGCCAGCTTCTCGTGGTAGATGCATGCTACTTTATATATCCTCTCCTTCGAAGTAAATCGTTCGTAAACAGTGGATTTTACATTTTAGTCACACGCGAGGCTATACGCAGGTACGTCTTGTTTAAAAAGTATTTTATTTTTTTATTTATATGCATTGAATTATTAAAATTGGACAAGCAATCAGCATCCTTTATTATCGAATAGTGTATACATAATACATATTAATCTAATGTGACCGATCAACCTTTTCATATCTGATGTTGTTTCTTGACTCTGTATTATGTTCAAACGCCTGTATGGAAATACATACAAATTTCTGTGTTTGTAAATTAAGTTAACCTTTAGCCTATGTTGTTTGTGCCAAGTTTATTGAAGGTTATGTGGTAGGGGGGGGGGGTAGCCTCTTACCCATATGATTTATAAGGATTGAGGCATCCTTTTTCTTAAATTATGAATGTTACAGTGGTGTAACTTGCAATCATTTTGACAACTTACTAATTTGCTTATACTGTGATGGAAGCCAGCTCTCGACAGAATAATATCCCAAGGTATATCAGATAAAGAGACTGGAGAAAACATAAAGATTTTTAAATGATGGTAGACACACAGAGTATATTCTGTGAGACAGACATGCAGAGTGCACTGTGTAACATGGCCAATAGTGTTACATTCAGCATCAATACTATGGTTGGCTGAAGATATAAAGAGGTCCCCCACCCATTATGGGCCTAGTGCAATGATAAAATGCCAACAGGCCTCAACCACTTTTTATCCACATCAATCCATACAATCAAAAGTGGGTTTCTCAGCTTGGCTGAATAAAATTCTTATTAATTTATAATGCTTTAATGACCGTATTTGGTATTCTAATCACAGACGCAGTATGATTAGATAGAGAAGAATTTTGTGTGTCACATACAAAGTCAGAATATGTTATGTAAGATGGTAAAATTTCTGTTTGTAAAGACTAAAGGAATAAATGTTGAAACTAATTTTCATGTAGCCATTGAATATCTGGAATGTCATTTCTTTTATTGTACTTTGCCATTTCAAATCCAAATGTCTTGTATACCTCTAATTTACTGCTGACTATTCATAACTTAACCATTCTTTCTAGTTTCTACCTGCATGCGCTCATCAAACCTTAGTTTAAATAAACATGACAGTTTCTGTTCCTGTTCCATCCAAAAGAGAAAATGATTTCATAATTTATTTCAATTTTTAGATGGCCAATGATAATGAGCATTCATATCAAAATGGTGCTGATGAAAGTCTTCTGCCACCTAAAGTATTTGCAAACAGTTCATATAGTGAAACAAACCAGTTAAAAGTTTACAAGAAAAGATGGTATATCTTGCTTGTGTACTGTATGAATGGTGTCTTGCAGAATGCAATGTGGAATACTTGGGGGCCAATTGAAGCCAGTGCAAGAGCCGTTTATAAATGGGATAGTTATGTAATTGACTTACTTGCAGCGTGGGGCAGTATGACATATTGCATAACAATGGTACCATTTGCATGGGTTATGGATGTCAAAGGTACTGTATGTATTTCCGGTAATTAGTATAGTGGATTACTTAGATCTATCTAGAAAAAGAAAAATTGTCCCTATAAGATAAGGTCCTCAAATACAAATTCTCTACTTTTCTGGCAGATTTTTGCACTAAAATAAGAATTTTTACTGAATTTCTCACTCCTTGATGCCCTCCCCAGTTCTTTTGAAGGCGTGTTTTGTCTGCGCGGAGTTAACGTCTTTACAGGGAGCTGGGTTTTTTTATTAGAGTTAGCTTATTTTTCGCGGTGTCGTTATTGTCGTATCCCAGTTCCCGATTTCCGAGCTAGGGGTTTGACACTGTGGGTCACTGTGACACTGTAGCTCCGTTTACACTGCACTCAATTTATTGGCACGCCACGGCTAAAATTGGTACCCTTGCTCAATTTTTTTAGTGTTCAGGCCACCAAAACAAAGGCCAAGCACAGATGAAATGGGCACGGGTACCTATTTTAGCCGTGCCGTACCAAAAAATCGAGTGTAGTGTAAACGGGGCTTGTGAGTTTGACCTATATTCGAAAACGAGCAAGAGGCCTGTGGCGAGGTACACGAAAGTGAGGCCAGTCAGATTTTATTTCTTGTAATTTGAAAATTGTGGGGTTATTTTACTTTGCTGGACCTGGAGTTTCTCTCAATCAAAAATTCAAAATCTACAAATAAACAAATGATCTTGGAAGTTTGGCAGTAGAAAACCTGACTAGCTTCGTTTTCGTATAATTCGCAACAGGCCTCTGCTCTTTTTCGAACAGGACTACTGTATGCATCTGGGGCCGGTTGTATCAAGCCCGTTTAGCTTAAACGGTGGATAAGTTCAAAATAGAAAACAAGTCTATCGTTTTATTCAACAAGCAAACTAAAGGTTTTTTACCTTAATACAACGTTACTGTTTACAACTACATATTCATTGCATAAAATTCAAAATGATTCATTCAAGAGAGATGTAAGAGTGTTATTTAATTTTGACTTATCCACCGTTTAGGCTAAACGGGCTTGATACAATCGGCCGCTGGGTGAAAGATGTGCTAATAACATTTCTCTGTTGTATTATCTAGGTTTGCGTGTAACGATGTTGCTCTCTGCAGGATTGCAAGTTGTTGGTTCTGTATTAAGATCCATTCCCACGGATAATACCCAAGTATCGACAATCTTAATACACTGCGGTCAAATTATGGTTGGTTTGGCAGGGCCGGTGGGTATGGCTGCTCCCCCTCTCTTATCGTCGACATGGTTCCCGCCACATCAGCGCACCACTGCTACAGCAATCCTGACCGTGGCTGGTTATGTAGGTACAGCAGGGTCATTTTTAATAGGACCTGCATTCGTTGACGACGTGAAGACGACAGATATTCCAAAAGTCGGTGATAACTATCGATTGAATACAACAGAAGAGGATAAATACCAAAAACAAATCAGCTCTCTCCTATATTTTGAAGCAGCTTTGCAAGTGGCTGTGTTTATTTTAATTGCCGTATACTACCCGTCAAGACCGCCCATCCCTCCAAGTGCTTCTGCAGGAACAGGACGGATTGATTTTAAAAATGGCGCTAAAGCACTTTTTAAAAACTACAATTTTCTTTTATTGGCGATGATATATGGAGCGAGTACGGGTGTTTATGGAGGTTGGTGCTCTGTTCTGTATCAAAATTTATCAGATTATGGGATATCAGTTGATGAGAAATTTGCGGCATGGCTGGGATTTGTCGCCGTCATAAGTGGCGCTATCTCGGGTGTTCTATTTTCATCGTAAGTATTTGAAACTGTTTTCACCATCTAATCTCCGAGAACAGCAAATTCAGGAAGTGTACAGTATTCACGGAATTGTTTATATTTTTATTTTCAGATTCGCCGATCACTTTTCAGGGCACTTGAAATCATTCCTCATCGTGTTCATGGCGCTGTCGTTTTTTACAACCGTATCAATTTGCTACATTTTCACCGGCGTTTTTGCATTTAACAAGATCGTGGTATATGTTATGTTTGGATTGAGCGGATTCTTTTTGAATGGCACAATTCCCTTCTTTTTTGAGCTTGGAGTGGAAATTACATATCCAGTAGCTGAGGGCATTACCTCTGGTGTAACAACGTTCTTTAACAACTTTCTCCAGGCAATATTCTTGGTTGTCCCGTTGGGTAATTTGGGTACAAAATGGATGTTGTGGACAACCGTAATCACCTGTGCTGCTTCAACTGTTCTTTTGCTTTTTGTAAAAGAAGAATATAACAGATCATCGGTCGACCAACGGGCTAGACGCGGGTCTGATTATACACCTGACACAGTTAATTCATGATTATCTTATTTTAGAAGCTGGTTCCATGTAACATAATTCGTCGTCATTCACATGTCGTAATTTGTTGTAATTCGGTTTTCATGTGTCGGATTTCGCATTGCAACGATTATTAAACAACGAATTACGACGTGTGAATTACGACAAATTATGTTATTAATAATTACGACAAACCAGCCTTAACACAACGACGAATGACAATATTCCAATTATGTTTTCAATCAATGGAAAAAGCTAAAGTCTACTGCTCGGCTTGAATAATGACGATACATCAAGAAGTAGCCATGCAGCATACAGCTGTTTTTCACATAGCGCAGTCTAGAAAATTATACATAAATAAAATAGCAACGAATTAAAAGAATTGAATTTTAATTGTTATAACACGCTCTGCACTCAATGTATTGAGCACTCTGTGTTCTACAAAAGTCTATTTGGAATATATATATATATATATATATATATATATATATATATATATATATATATATATATATATATATATATATTTAGTCAAGTTCCTACTTTTCTCTCCGTTGCCATAAAGGGAGAGAAACGTCGACTTCCATCCTTGTGGCAAAACAGCTATATGGGCGGCCTCTCGTACACAGGCAGATATTTAAACAAAAAAATCACTTTTTAATTTAGTTGCAGTACCAACAGACCCCTTTACAACCTGATTGGCTAGGCTTTTTTCCGCAGCCTTAGTAAGCACATTTTGTGAAAAGTTTTACAAGGTAGCACAATTAACAAGATACATATGTGTACAAAAACGTCCTTCAATGCGTTTCTACTGATATTTCTTTGGCTTTTTACCCATATTTTAAAACCAATGCACTTACAAAACCACGCAAAAAGGCCTGGCACGATCATTTGGAAGAGTCCGTAATAAATAATAGACATATAGGGCACAACATCAGTTGTCAAAACAGTCCTGAGTTGCCGAGATGTTGGAAAGACAATTGTGATCAAAATGTGATCAGTACAAATTTAATAATAGAGCATCGACACCAAGAATCACCGGGTCGAGAATTGCATTATTCTAATACTCAGTAATAGAACTGAACTCTCGAAAATTTCAAAACCAATTGCTAAGAAAAATGGCTTATAGAGATTGAAATACTGGAAAGTGGGGAAATTTATGCTAATTTTGCAATGTATCATAAAGTTAAATAATCGATTTTTAGAATTTTTTATATAATAAAGTAAACGATTGTGGTAGCTCTGAAGCAAGACTGTTGTTGGTCCTTATTTAACTCCATTCTCAAACTGTGCGAAATTTCAGTACAACAGAGTAATGCAAGAATATTTATATGACGAACTGCCTTTGTTAATATCTATAGGAACAACTTCGTCTTGAATTTCGCAATTCCCCCTATATGGCTCTGGCCTGAAGTTGAAAGACAATGGCTAGTTATTGTAGTAACCTTTTACAAATAATAGATATGACATTAATCATATTACTAATTAATATAACATTCTTATTGTGAGGATTCAAATATATAACTATAACACAACAGTTATGTGGCTCCTTCGGGGTACAACAGGTAGTCAACACGCTTCTGGAATTGGGGAATGGGGGAATAGATTCTCAAATTCGTCGATCCCCCCTTCTAAAGATAGCCATTCGCAAACATCTCTCGGCTTTTTCTGAAAAGGTAACTCTTTTACTATAAAAGAATACATAAAATAGACATATAACTCGCCAGTGCTTTTAAAAATGCCTTCTTTTCTTTTCAGTTCATCCAATGTCAACGGCCGAAATCGCTGCAAGCACGCGTTAGTAAGTAGTAACAGTGACACTGAAAAACAAAGAAATGCAATCATCTACAATATCACCATCTACAACACAACGAAATATGAATTACACCCGCGGAAACAATGTCGTGCACCCAGGCACCGACAAAAACGCCATCAAATAATGAAAATTAATACACAACGAAAACAACATCTTTTCAATGCTTATTTCCCGTGGTAAATGGTAAATGGTATTTATTATACATATTGATAGCAGATAGGCTAAATTACAATGTGTTTACAATGTATAAGACTTTTGTTAGTAGTGAGTGGAGTTTGTGAGACTTGCATGTTCCTTATAAAGACATACATGTTCTAAGATCAACGCACATCTCTTGCAGTGTCTTAAGGTTGCATTGCTGCAATGCTTGGTTATATATTCATATTCTGGAAAGATTACTTACAGCGCTCCATGACTTTGGATCTGTAATAGAGATCACATGTTGTTTGGCCCCAACCAACCTTTTTATCTTTTTTCACCATGACTTTGGATTAAGTTTGTTTATCGGCTTGATCTTCTCATCGTAATACATCGTAATTTTCCCCTCACGAATAGGCTTTATGACCTTTATCTCCTTTCTGTATCATTTCCTTTACTTACTCTATCAAACATAAGGTTAGTTCGAGAAAAACACGCACCCCCTCGCCAATTTCTCCAGCATTAAAAACACAGGAGGCGGTCAAAGCGACCGATAAATCGATCAAATAGACATAGGCCCTGTTTTCATGCAATTACTTGCCTCGGGGCAGAAACTGTCCCGCCTCTAGTTGTAAAGTATACTTGCGTTCACATGTAGTTCTTTACTGCCCCGGGACAAGAACAGACCCGAGTGACCCGCCTCTAGAGACAGGGGCACTCGCTTTGCCGAGGCAATATTTTACCATGCGAACGCACGGAACAAGTACCCCGGGATAAATATCAGTATTTTCAAAACTGGCGTCCAAAGAAAAACGTACTTCTGTCGCCACAAAGACAGCAAAGAAATGGAAATGGTCGGATGAAATGTTAAAAAGCCTTTTAACATACTTTAAAGAGTTGAAAACCGTCAAGGAATTCGAGGGTGTTGATTTTGAAGCAGATCTAATAGTACTCTACGAAGAAATACGGAAAGCAATGGCTTGTAGCTTCGACGATTTTGGTCCAGTTAAAATATCTGAAAGTACAAAATCAACTCAAGAAATACGATCGAGTGAGGGAGAAAATAAAAGCTGTCAGGCAAGATTATCGCGTTGCTGTCAGCCTGTCAACAATGGCACAATTTTCCGCCATAATTTTAATTGTCCCGGGCTTGTATGAACGAAAATAAATTTTGTCCCGGGCCAATTTGCCCAACAAGTTGCCCCGGGTTCATGAAAACAAGGCCATATAGATTTGCGTCCCCCAATGATCTTACAGTTACTGATTTCTTCTTCTTTACACTCAATTGCATCTTATCGTTAAGTTTCCAAACAATACGTTTATGATCAGATGTTCCGATAGGCGGTAATACCTCAGGGTCATCATACATAAACTGACTTATGTATCTCATTCTGTGAGTACAAGATCCAGTAATGCATTGCCCTTGTTGGCTTCTTCACCACTTGATATAATACTTGACACTGGCGCGTAATTGATCTATTAAATATTAAAGCCATTCCTGTACCTGGCCTTTCCGATTTCAAGGTGTCATAGCAAAAGCAAAAGTAATCGTAAAAGTTATTTAAAGCTTCCCGTTCCAGCAATGGTGGCATATATACACAAGCAATTGCAATCCTGGAAATATGCCTTGGAAGCCAAATCGGCCTCACTGAACCCAGAGACATTCATATTGTTGATTGTACGTTCGATAGGTTCTTGCGAACCTTACAGGGCCTGCTTTCCCGTACATAGATTTGTGCGCCTTCCCCCCCCCGCCTCTGCCTAATTATCTATCTTTCCTAATTGAGGTTAAAGCTAGTGATGTTCACAGCTTCATCACCCACCCAAGCATGAATACCTTTTTGTTGAAACCTGCTTGCACAGCGGAAAGGCTGAGAACTTCATTTAAACACCGGTATAAAACTTCTGAATCTGCTATATTCATCGTATGGTATTACACCAAGTATCTCGAACATTTCCTGAATCAAAATGGCGTCTGTGTATTGCAAAATTGCAAAACATGTCACTTCATCGAAGTTTCGAAGATAAAATGCTCGAAAACTGCAGGTTTGTGAAGGTGAAAACAAGTGAATTTAGACTTTCTATGATTTATCCTAATTTTATGATTTAATAATATGATTTATTCGGAAGGGGGGCAACAAAACTGAACGATAATCGGCCACAGAATACGGCCTACACGCCTAAAAACGATCAGGTTGATGCAATATTGATATGAACAGGATGAAACAATGTTGTGCTGCCCACATTGTTCAGAGTTATTATCAACATCGAACAATATTGTCACACCCGATTCAGTTTCAACAATATTGTTCAATGTCGTTGACAAGTGTGAACAATAATGAAAGAACAACATTGTTGCATGCTGATAAACCGCAGGCTCAGAGTTTTTAGCCGTGTAGACTTCTCGGATGGATTGCAGAGTACCCCACATTTTTTAAGCGATCCTTTAAAATACCATGGATACGTGGATACGCAGTTAAATTAGTTTTTCTAAATTCGAGGCGCGTGAATGGGTAAGATTGGAAGGATAAAATAATAAGGCATGTGAAATATACGACGTAAATGTAGGTGGATACGCAGTCGTTTAATATTATAAAGAACGAAGCATAAGTCAACAAGACGCCTGTTCTGGCGTTAACTCCGGCGTGGCGCGCACGTGCCAGTCTTCAATATAAAGCTTCTGAACATAAACAATACAGTTCATACTCATTTAGATGCCTTGCCAACCTAAATGTTGTTCGATGACTTCGATCGCGACATTCAGAAGCACATCGTACTTTAAATAGCAGCGATATTATTAAAATAGAACCAGAATCTACATGTATTAAATATATTCTCACCCCATGTAAATCTAAACTTAATTCAACAGCATCAAAAGAGCGGTTTATTTGTTCCTCTTGGAGGAATTGCCGTATCATGCGAGGCTTGCGAGCGAAATCGAATCGCGCATCGGAAAATTAACGAAAGCTGTGCACCACAACTCTTGGGAGATAAGACTGGGACGTAGATAAATACGGTCACATACACATTTCAAATACTAGTATATTTCGCGCCAAAACACACTTGCGACGACGAAAAATAATAATTAAAAAAAGGACCTAGACGAATTTTCAACTTCGTCGCTGACGCCGGGGTAATAATACATGAGAAATATATCAGTGACGTTTATAAGTGAACATGCACAATTCAACGAGAACGAACGACTATGCAGTTATGTTAATAAGTGTTATGTTAATATAAAACAAAACACATTTGTACCAAACTGCTTGTACACATTTATAAATACATAATTACAAAGATCTTACTTTTTGGATAATGCAAATAATGTCGAAATGACGTTCAACCATTACACATTTGATGTTAGGACTTAGGGCTTCGGTTTATACGTTTACGGGTAGCGATATTTTACTCAATGAATTTCTCTGTAATTATTCACATGTTTAATCATCCAATTTTTGTTTGGCTCGACCTTTTACAAATAAATTGAATAGCCATGCCATAATTATGCTGTGTTTTCTTTGGGGATTCATCCCTATTTACCTTCATACGGTTTAAGTGTTTTCAAAACAAGACAACTGTTTTCTGAGATTGATGACTTAGAAGCAACCGCGACTGCTTTGCACTTGATGACTAATTGTTGACAGTTTTATTCAATTTTTTTTCTGAATACTTATACGTGCGGTTAGAGCAAGTATTGAAATATCGTTAGAAACCTACATACTGTAATATTGAACGACGAGATGAACCCTTTGCAATCATCCGCCTTGTTAATTGAGAGTTTCAACAAATTAGTATAACAATATAGCCCTTGCGGCCTTAAAATTATACTCCTTTCTTCGTTTCCTAACCTTACAACTTGACGAGGAGGCATTGTCCGTAGCAAAGTTAGCGACTTCAAAGCTGTTTGCAGAATATTTTAAAAGCATTTAATTACATAGCAAGCAAAGGGCTATACACCACTCTCAAGAGTGCATTGCTTAAAATATACTTGGCAATTGATATCATCACGGTTATTGACACGCTAAGTGTTCAACTTTTCCGTAAGCAAGTCGTCTGGGTTTGAAGTCTTACATATTTGTTCCTTGTCAGTGAATTGTTTATGCTAATCGACTTGGAACGAAATAAAATTATCACATTCGTCTAAGTGCTTGTCGAATATTCATATTTAAGGTCTCATCCAGTAGCCACGCGAGTTTAAACGAGTGCAGACAACTGAGTCGCTCGGTTAATGAGGCTACTCGTTCGTTCTCGTTGAATTGTGCATGTTCACTATATAGACGTTAGTGTATTTAGTCAAGTGGAATGGATTTCGATATTTTCAAGTCCAAAGACTACCACAGCTAACGCAATATTGGCTGAGTTCTTGTGGCGTTATGAGCACAAAGGAAGTGACCTATTTTTGAAATTTCTTGTAGACGTTAAAAAGATGTATGGAAATTTTTAAAGTGGTTATCAGGTATCCATACTGTAATTTATCCATACTTTATTTACAGAAATAGCTAAGTAATGTAGTGTTTGAAAGCATATGAATCTTATTATTGCCCTGCGATAACAAGTATATTATGCATATATTCTGAATAAAAATTTCCCTAATTACTCCGGCGTCAGCGACGGAGTTGAAAATTCGCCCTGGTTTTGTTTTGTTGTTTTTTTTTTTTTCTTATTTTTCGTCGTCGCAAGTCTGAATGGCGCGAAACATTGTAGTATTTAAAATGTGTATGTAACCGTATTTATCTACGTCCCAGTCTTATCTGCTAAGAGTTGTGGTGCACAGCTTTGGCTAATTTTTCGATGCGCGATTCGATTTCGCTCGCATGATACGGCAATTCCTCCAAGAGCAACAAATAAACCGTTCTTTTCACGCTTTTCGACTAAGTTTAGATTGAATTGGGGTAAGAATATATTTAATACATGTAGATTTTGGTCCTATTTTAATAATATCGCTGCTATTTCGCCGTTTGACAAGATGATCAATGATGTGGTCGTGTATGGGCGCGTTGAACGTCGTAGTTTGCACAGGATTGAACATTTAATATAACTATATAAGCGCGAATTCCAAAGGCAAAGTGTAAGACAAAGCGAATATATCATGCGGTTTATTTACATTTTTGAACAATTGAACTTCTATACTTTTTAAAGTACAATGTCCTTTTGAATTTCGCGATCGAACATTTAGGTTCGCAAGGCATCTAAATGTGAATATGAACTGTATTGTTTATGTTCAGAAGCTCTATATTGAAGACTGGCACGTGCGCCGGAGTTAACGCCAGAACAGGCGTCTTGTTAAAATAACAGTTGGTTACTGAGAATGTCTAAAATTTATGCACGTGCATGACTATAGACATAGTAGATTCAAAGAGATTTTGATTTTGCTTTAGTATATCGTTTCTAATTAAGACTAGTAAAGGTTTCTATTTTATTCATACTGATTACTGAAGCCTATAGAATGGAGCCATTTGACCTATAGTCTTTAATGCTTCAAAAAGTCCACAACGCAAAAGGTCTATAACACAAAACTTGTGGTTTGACTGCCTGACCAATGTGTTATGGGTATGCGAATTTCCGCTGACCGTATGTGATCGCTTATAAATTTAAAACTGCGAATCCACGTATCCGCGTATCCACTAAAATATATAGCTACCCATATATCAATCTCACCGCGTATCCGCGTATCCAGTGAAACAGTAGCCAGACAATATGATATCATTAGTGGAGGGTATTCTGCAATTTAGCCGACTTTTCGTCCCAAAGAATGGCGTGACCATTACATATAAACACCGCGCGCCCTAATGGAATACATAAATGAAGAATGTTACCGTAATCACTTGCAATCACATTGACAACTTACCATCAAGGCAAGCTTCAGAGTTCAGACAGAATAATACATCAAGGTATTCAGATATTAAAAGGAACTGGAGAAAACCGAAAGACCTTGTCCCCCAATGTTTGTATGATATTTGCTGCTTTACATAACAACAGAAACAGAGAGTATGATATAGTTATATTTAACTAATTTTGCAGGATTCCTTGCTTTGGAAACTATACATGTTTATAGTAAACTGCTCTACTATATGTTATTTAATATAATTTAAAATGTACCAGTCATATTGGCTACAACTATTCAACCATTAGGCAAGCAAGACAAAATATTTTTTGCATGCCATGATATTTACTCTGGCAAGCAAGCTAGAGCTAGAAATAAAGCCAACATCAATACTATGGTTGGCTGAAGATATGGGAAGAGCTCCAACTCAGTAAGAGCCTGATGTTGTGATAAAACTAAATATGAACCAGCTTAACTTTTCCCAACTAAACCAAATTAATCCATACAATTAAAAGTGGGTTAGTCAGCTGGCTGAATAAAAATCTTATTATTATGCCTTTAATGCCATATATGGCATGCAACAACAAAAAGACTGCAGAAACTAAGACAAGTAATAGAAATATAGTCCAATATCGCACCTTATGATATGTATATATTTCGTGTTAATCTGTTACTAAGAGTTAATAAAATAGACCGGAAAACCTGCAAACAATAACTGGGAACAGCGTTTCAAACGTTCTACTGTTACTGCATGGTTCACAGTATATGGCTATGGTTTTGTCTGCCGTGTGTGAAATAAAACAGTGAGTGAAGGCGGTAACTTAAGTTTCCTTGCAACTTGCAATGCAGTTCTACTCCTGAGGCATCTAAAGTTCTGAAATACGAACATTTCTTGCGATGCGCTAACGTGTTCTTAGCATTTCGAAAATCTAACAAATTAACATCCAAATTATAATTTGAGAGTTGAGAGTTGCAAGCCGAATCGCCTTGAGGCCCTGTTTACAATAGACCGGATTCGCATGGTCACGACATCAAAGCCATGTTAAAATAAAGCGAGTGATCACCTCAAAAATTTGATAGCGTGATAGCATAGCGAAATGAAAAGTTCTGGCGACGGAGATACGGTAAAACAATATAAACTGATTTCGTGCGGTATAGTGTAAGCGGGGTTTGACTGTGTGAGTCGCATTGTGTAGCCGAGCTATTGTGGTGATGATGACATTGTTTTACCTTACTCTGCGGTTTGAGTCATAAAGTCGTTCAAGTTTAATATTCCTTTCCTTTTACCGTGTCGAAAACAATGGAAAGTTTTCATTTAAAAATAACGGATTCACAAAATAACCTTTAAATTTGTATTAGTTAACATTCACCGAAGGCTCTAAACGAACGTAAATTTAGTTATGTAAATTTCTAACGTATGAAGTTAAATTCTGATTGGCAGCATTTGTAATATATGTAAATGTTCATATGCACCTATCGTTTATACTGTAGAATGTGCAAATTCTCAAAAATTTATTGTGCTTTAATAATATGCAACTGATCTATAAACAGTGTCTGGAGCTCGTTCGTTATGCACTGATCTCAAATGTTTTTATCACACTCTCCAATATATCTCTAAAAGAGATATATGTCCCCATATATCTCTAAAAGAAATATAATTATGTCCCTATATATCTCTAAAAGAGAGATATATGTCAAAAGAAACTAACAACAACAAGTTAATAAAGTCCATTAATACAGTTTCTCTCAGAATAGTACTCCATTTCCTAATGTTCATCTTCAACGTCTCGGGCGATGTCTCTTATCCTTCCACGGCTGCTGCTCTGCGTGGTTTGAAGGGTTCCACGCTGGGGTCAAGGAGTACCATCGTAGCAGTGGGACCAAGAGGTGTTTTAATGTCACAGGAGAGCTCCAAAGGGTAGAGGGATTTGACAGCACGCTCCGTGACACTCTTGCCAGTACGTACTTTTGCTCTCCGTACACAACCATCTTTACCAACTATCAACCTTTCGATAATACCAAGCAGCCAATGATTTTTGTTTCGTTCAGTGGAGTTGATGATAACAACTTCGCCAACGGATATATCACTCCACGTCCCTTTAGATTTCAACTGATGTTTTTCGCGTAGGCTAGATATTTGGTCGAAGATATTCGGTCGTCCATCTCTTCCACATTGCCTTTTTACACTCCAGGAGAAATTTCGCTCTTTTTCTCAAATTCTTCTCTTCTATATGGTGAGTGTTAACTGGGTTATGGGTAGGATGTTGGCACTAACAAACAACAAGGAATTCGGTGTTAGGGGAGGCAATTGTATGTCCTTTTCCATGTATGTTAGTGGTCTGTTGTTGAGGGTGTGTCGAGAAGCACTTTGGTCAGCTCTGTCCACGACAGGATAGCTCGTCGTCCTACAACTTTATGGTAGGCAGATTTCATGAGCTCGATCAGGCGTTTAAATTGCCCGCCCCGTGGTGGCGCGACTGAGATTAATCGTTGAAAACTTCGTCTCTTTGAACTTTATTGAGCCATTTGCCCGCCGCTGTGAAGACGAGTTGACCGCTAGATAGGCTTGAGACATGCCACTGATGGTTCCTGGCACAGTAACTCATCTGTGGTTCCTGGTGACATCGAGGTCCAGTCGAAGCTAGTGTGTTCAGCTACCGGATCACCATTGCCCACACGAAGACATCCATCTGTTCGGATCTTAGAGAAGTCGTTAGCCTCCACTATCATGTGTACTGGTAATTGAGATCGTCATTGTCAACATGATGTGGCTTGTCTAAAGTGCGCAGCTCTGGTTTTCCGATCTCAGTAACGGTTGCATGAAGGCTAAAATCGCCATTCACTGGATCAATATCAACCTCGTAAGTTTTCAATTGTGGTTACTCCCATAAGCATGGCGATTTGGCGCACTCTTGAAGATTTAGGGTCAGCTTTCACACTGAGACTCGCGAACTTGGACGAGACATAGCTAGACATGACCGACCCCGGAATCCAAGAGGGCACGAAACTTGAATGCAATTTCCCAGGCGCCTCTTGTTCCTGATGCAATTTTTGTTCCGTTAACAGTCTCTCATTTCCTTTAGCTTTCGTGCGATTCGTCTTAATTGTCGGTCACCCTCCGCCAAATATTTCTCGAATTTCTCTATTCTGAAAGACTGAAAGAATGAACAAATAAATGCTGGAACTAATTTTTATGTCAAGAGCTTTGAGTTTGATCTTGAATGGACTAACGATGACTACATTATTCTTTCCACATGCTCTCACAAACTTTTTTTTAAAATTTCTGTTCCTGTTCCATCCACTTTGTTTTCTGTTTCATGTTAGCATGATACATGCAAAATGTTAGCACTCTAAAGTATTTTTTGATTGCATCCTATTTAATGCATGCATGATTATGATGCATGATCATGATGGCTGGTACTTTCTTTAATTCTTGATTACCTAATTTGCAATTAACAATATAAATTACCCAGATTCAGAAGTAACTTGGTGTAAACACCATTGTGTTCACAGAATATGAAAATGAATATGATTTCTTAATTTATTTCAATTTCTAGATGGCCAATGATAATGAGCATTCATATCAGAATGGTGCTGATGAAAGTCTTCTGCCACCTAAAGTATTTGCAAACAGTTCATATAGTGAAACAAAGCAGTTAAAAGTTTACAAGAAAAGATGGTATATCTTGCTTGTGTACTGTGTGAATGTTATCTTGCAGAATGTAATGTGGAATACTTGGGGACCGATAGAAGCAACTGCAAGAGCCGTTTATAAATGGGATAGTTATGTAATCGACTTACTTGCAGCGTGGGGCAGTATGATGTATTGCGTTACTATGGTACCATTTGCATGGGTTATGGATGTCAAAGGTACTGTACATATTTCTGATTTCTAGATACAACGTATTTTTAGTAAAAATGTCTTGACTTTTCGGGGCAGTTAGGGTCGCTGCCAAATTTGGCTGGTGTTTAATGATTATTTATTTATTTCCTTTAATTTACTTACCATACTTTACATCCCATACTGTGTCAAATTCTCCTCTTGTTAAGATAACATGGCACATTGCCCTCAAAATGTGTATACAAAATGTCTATGAAATAATCTTCGCTGAGTTCGCTCACCTGCGCACGTGGGTGAAGGATGGAATTGTTTTATGCTAATGACATGTTATTGTTGTATTTTTAAGGTTTGCGTGTAACAATGTTGCTTTCTGCAGGAATGGCGGTTGTTGGTTCTGTATTAAGATCCATTCCCGTGGGGAATACCCAAGTATCGACAATCTTAATACACTGCGGTCAAATTATAATTGATTTAATGGGACCAGTATGTATGGCTGCTCCCCCTCTCTTATCGTCGACATGGTTCCCGCCACATCAGCGCACCACTGCTACAGCAATCATGACCGTGGCTTATTATGTAGGAACAGCAGGGTCATTTTTAATAGGACCAGCATTCGTTGACGACGTGAAGACGACAGATATTCCAAAAGTCGGGGATAACTATCGATTGAATACAACAGAAGAGGATAAATACCAAACACAAATCAGCTCTCTCCTGTATTTCGAGGCAGCTTTGCAAGTGGCTGTGTTTATTTTAATTGCCGTATACTACCCATCAAGACCGCCCATCCCTCCAAGTGCTTCTGCAGGAACAGGACGGATTGATTTTAAAAGTGGCGCTAAGGCACTTCTTAAAAACTACAATTTTCTTTTATTGTCGATTATATATGGAGCGAGTACGGGTGTTTATGGAGGTTGGTGCTCTGTTCTCTATCAAAATTTATCAGATTATGGGATATCAGTTGATGAAAAATTTGCGGCATGGCTGGGATTTGTCGCCGTCATAAGTGGCTCTATCTCGGGTGTTCTATTTTCATCGTAAGTATTTGAAACAGCAAACTCAGAAAATGTAGAGACTAGAGTAGTCGTAGAATTTTTTTTCATATTAATTCTGAATATTCGACTCAATTTTTTTTGCACAAAATGTTTTTTTAAGAAAGATATTTTTGGACAGCTAAATGTCTGTGGAGTGTCGTGATAACTTTTCCCTGCATGCAACTGTGTTCCGGAATTGCATGCATTCCAAACTCATCAGGTTGTGATAAACGAGGATAAATGACACTTCCTGTTAAAACACAAAACATTAAAACATTGCCCATTTTCAACTGAAACTTCAATGTTTCTTGGGATTATTTGCAGGCTTCATCTGACGTCGATTGCCTGTGTTATAATAACTTTTAAAATACAACATTCAAAGTACGCGTGTGCTGATTGGTAAAGAAGCGTGTTTCGTTAGCTGTTTAGGAACACGGGAATTTTCCTGCCGAAATTGACAAGCGAAATTGTACAAAAATAAAATTGTACAAAATCTTTTTATTAAGTTGTGTTATAAAAGAAATAGAAAAAATTTTCTGTGGTTATAATGAATTCAAATTTCTTATAAAAAAAAAGCATCAAAAAGCTATAGTCATCAGTGACTATCACTTCAGAAACAGTGAACTTTGATAAAACAGAATGAAGGGAAATCAATAGCCACCTCGAAATTTATACTAAACAGTTATATACGACTTTTGAGCTCATTGTCTAATTGTTAAATATGGTGTAATGAAAGAATTGTTTTTCGCTGATAGTGGCTCGGAAATAGGATTGATATACTGGTGCATGTGTCCCCAAGTGTCTCTTGAAAGTATCATTGGTAAATTTGGCGCAAAATATACTATATAACTATATATGTTATTTACCGAGGGACGTTTTTAAAACCGTGAGCACATCTTTTTTGCATCAGGACCGCTTGTACACGCCATTTTAGAATATTAATACGCCAACAATTCACCTTTATCAGCCAATCAAAAGGCAATAGTGTTAGCAATAATAAAAATAGCAACTAAATCACGACAAATCGATTAAATAACCCAACTTTTTGACAGGCGTAAAAATCCAAACTAAGAAGTTTTTATGTATTGTTTTTTATTCTCCTTGCATTTCGGATTGCTCTAGTGGTTAAAAGATACACAGTTAAAAGATAAAAAGACATATTCCCTCCAATTTAATAGTTGTACAATTTGTAAAGTCAACGAAACTCGATATCTCAAAAATGCAAAGAGATATCTACTATCAGGTTAAATGATATGAGAAAAACCACATAAATTAGCACTGCATGGCTAAAATGGGAACCCGTGTCCATTTTTATTTCTGCTCAGGCTACCAAAACAAAGGCTAGGCAAGGATGAAATGGGCACGGCGAGTGTAGTGTGAACGGGGCTAAATATAGTGTCAATATCTCCTTTTTTTCTTCCAGACTCGCCGATCACTTTTCAAGACACATGAAATCATTCCTTATCGTGTTTATGGCGCTGTCGTTTTTTACAACCCTATCAATTTGCTACATTTTCACCGGCGTTTTTGCATTTAACGAGATCCTGGTGTATGTCGTATTTGGGTTAAGCGGATTCTTTTTGATCGGCACCGTTCCCTTCTTCTTTGAGCTTGGAGTGGAAATCGCATACCCGGTAGCTGAGGGCATTACTTCTGGCGTGACAACTTTCTTTAATAACTTCCTCCAGACAATATTCTTGGCTGTCCCGTTGGGTAATTTGGGTACAAAATGGATGTTGTGGACTACCGTAATCACCTGTGCTGTTTCAACTGTTCTTTTGCTTTTTGTAAAAGAAGAATATAACAGATCATCGGTCGACCAACGGGCTAGACGCGGGTCTGATTATACTCCTGACACAGTTAATTCTTGATGACCAGGATACATTTAACAGTGACAACGACGAATGACAATATGCCAATTGATTAAAAAAGCTAGTCTTTTTTGCTTGAATAATGACGATACCTCGAAAACTAGCTAGCATATAGCTGTTTTTTCATAAAGTTATGGCACTATAGCGCCCAGAAAATTACTAGGCCATGAGTATTATACACTTAATGTATGCTCCCGAGGGAAATAGTGAGTTTTGTTTTCCCAAGAGTCTGAATGTTTCCCGAGACGAAGTCGAGGGAAACATTGTGACTCGAGGGAAAACAAAACTCACTATTTCCCGAGGTGTAGCGAACATTAAGTATTTTGTTATATAGGAACAAAAACATACATGTTACACAACAATTTCATTTCAAAAAACTTTGTTATGACAATATGCGGGCAACAATTTTTCACTTGTTTCCCTGGCGGGAAACATTGCATTTATTTAAAGTCATGTGACTACGAATGAACCAATCACATTTAAAATACACAACACCTATATAACAATAAATTTTATGCTAGGGGGTTTCGTTTTAGACCAATCAGCAAGTTTGTTTACATTTTCAGTAACCCAATCAGAATGCATAAAATTTGACTACCCAATAATCGGGCACATAATTTATCATTCTACATGAAGTTTAAAAAAGTTTGGCATTCTGATTGGCTTTGCCTAAAAAATGTAAAAAAAAATTGATTAGTTTGAAACGAAATTCCCCACTGTTCTATACACTTACATTTTAAAATGGTTTTCCCGCGTACCATTTACATCCGTGCGTACACACGCAGGATGCAAAAAAACCTGGGAACGAGGATGGTGCCAATCGTGCCATGCTAATAGAGTGTACGATCTCGTTCCTCGAGCCCGCGATTCTTCTAGCGAGAAAACAAAGGCTCTTAGGCTCTGGGATAATCGAAATCAGAAATTATTCGGATTGGTCGTTCACGCCGTTTCAATTTTGAAATACAAAAAATCGTTACAAACCGGAATTTGGATTATCCCAAAGCCTTTGTTTTCTCGCCAAAGGAATCGCGGGCTTGGGGGACGAGATTGTAGAGTGTAGTATAGGCATGTTGTAAAACGTGGACTAGACTGGACTTGTAAACTATAGACTGAACTTGTAAAACATGGACTTGTAAAACACGGACTTGTAAAATATGGACTTGGAATTTTACTATTTTTAGGACCTAGTGAGCTCTTTTTAGCCGTGTGGTAATTTTTACCATGTTTTACAAGTTCATGTTTTACAAGTCTATGTTTTACAAGTCCATGTTTAAACAAGTCCATCTTTAACAAGTCTATCTTTTACAAGTCTATGTTTTACTAGTCCACGTTTTACAACATGCTTGTAGTGTAACGGGTCCCATATCATCATAATACGGCGTCCAGTCAAGTTTTTATCGCCACTGTAGCAACGACTAAGGCCCTTGCAAATTTTGCTGTGATTTTATGTGCAATTTTCTTCTCTTGATAGATATGAATTTATTTATTCATTTTCCGACGAGAACCGGTGCTTTCCAAGTGGTATGGACGTGTACATTTTGTTCAAGAACTTTTGATTTACGACTATTTTTGGGGAAAAGTTAACTTTGCATGGAGGTTTGACGGATGCGTAATAAATCAATATTAATGTATCGAATTCTAAATAATTCTGCAGCACCGAATTTGAAAAAATTTTTTCACTAGGATTAGATCTTTGTCAGGAACCTATGAACTGAGAAATAGACCTGATTTGGCTCCTCCAATACCGAGAAGCACACCTATAATAATTTGTTATATTGTTGTTAAGTGTTTAATGTTTTTATTTTTGTATCTGCTTGAATGTTACTTAGGCTTAGCTTTGTATTTTAAGCCGCGTTTACACAACGTGGTTTGACCTGGCCTGGAGCAGGCCTTGACCTAGTTGTGAACGTTGTTTATCTGGCCTATATCAGACCTGGACCTGGTCTAGGCCACAAAATCCAGGCCAAAAGAAAAAAATGGCCGGGATCAGGCCTGGACCTGATCATTTTTGTAATACCACTTTTAGGCGTGTTTTGGATCTTGTTCCAAATATTTTGTCAATTATGTTGGCCATCCGACATCATCAACAAGAAGGATAGTGTGAATGTTGCACATATTACCTGTTTCTAGTGCTCGACCTGGTCCAGGCGAGATCTAGGCTTCTAGTGTAAACGCTGCTTTAGCGCCGGTCATCAATAATGGGAGTCCCAAATTTAATAGAAATAGAGTTACATGGTTGCGCGGAAATATGGAATTTATTTCAGTGTTGACACGTGTATTACGGCACACATTTTAAAATAACAATTGATGTTCAGTAAAATGCCTTATATAGTTATTCGTAAAAAATATTTTGACAACTTTCTTGCTTGATTCGCCGAAAACGCAGGGAACAGGAAACCGAAATTAAATCTGTTTTAATCTGTTTAAATCTGTTTTACGACAGATTTTTTGATTGGTCAAACATATTTCCTACGCGGTTTTTGATTGGCTTGTGCGTTTTTACGTGTGTTAAATTCGATTTTTCTCATGTTCATATAAAATTTCAATTCTTACACAAATGTCTATGCGAAGGGAAGAGACTGAAGTTTGAAAAGATAAAGAGTAAATTGGTGTATCTCAGTGGCGGGAACTTAAATTTAAATTTAGTAAATTTCTTAATCTTCTGATTTGATTGGTGTAATAATAAAGATCACATGATCAGGGGGAAAGTCAACCTATAACATATAACACATATGACTACGTTGGCTGAGGGAAATTGATGAAGTAATATCCGACCAAAAGTTGCGGCTTGTTGTTCTTGGTTCTGCCTGAATCCTACGTTCTCTCATCTCAAGTTTGAGTGTGCAAAAAATGGAAGAATTAAAATGGTAAAATGTAAAGAAATTACTAACCGAAGAGCATTTAAAACAAAAAGAGAAAGTCGAAAATCAAACGGAAGTGTCCGATCAAAATGAAGCGGGTTTTTTTTTAGAAAGGAACACATAAGAAATATACTGTGGTTGAACCCGCAATCCCTGCTGAAATAGAGCATCCACCAGTAGTGGGAGTAGATCAACCCTGAGGTACTTACGAAGAGAATTTTCGTAAATATCATTAGTTCGCAGAGAGAGAGAGAAAAGCCCCGAGAAGATTTGCGCCTGATGAATGCAATGCTGTTGAATCACCATTATTTAGTGATGAAGAACCTAAGTTCGTAACAGAAGTCTTGAATGGCAAGGACGGTGAGAAATGGAAGCAAACTCTAGAAGCAGAATATGAATCATTGGTGAAGAGTGATACATGAGAGCTAGTTGAGCCACCTGACGATGCTTGTGTTGGTGGTTCAAAGTGGGTTTTCAAAATAAAGTATAACGCTAACGGAGACGTTGATCGGAAATTCATTTCGCCAGTTCCAGCGAAGATGTCATAAAAAACTACGTCTGTCGACGAATTATCACATTGGATGGATTATTATTAAGGGACTTATTATTACTTTTCTGGTTTGAATCGAGACCGCTTAGCCTTGATGTTGGGTATTCGTAGCTCACTGTTTTTTTTTGCAAGTTGTTCACACAAAATGAATACCGAATTTCAAATCAAAGTTCTGAAATTTGTTTTGAACTTCCTACAGTAATTGGCAATTTCTCCACCCACTTGTCGATTTCCAAATATGGTTCGGAACTCGACCGTGTAAAGTTTGTTGAAACAGACTGCAATAAAGACAGTTCACCAGGGGGTATTGCGAGAGCTAGTTAAGAAGTTAATCAGTTATGGACATGAATAACTTATGAATTAGTTTCCAATGCTTGTTGAATAATGCTTTCTGTATGTTATTAAAATCTTGCACATTTGATAGGTAAAAATTAAAAAATCTTGTCATTATGACCTTTAGACTTCTTTCAAAAGTTATCCCAAATTGTGGGAAAGGGATCAAGTCTCAGAGACTTTAACAATCTAATTTTTTGGAAACGGATACATCACACAACTTTCTGGAAGCTTCGTTGCTCAGCAGACAGTCCAATATATTTTCATTTACATGTAACGCTCTCTCAACTCAAGTTCACTCTGACTGGCCTTACTGTGCATATCCGTTTCCAAAAAATTTGTCTCTGAGACTTCCTTTGCCACAATTCGGGATAACTTTTAGAAGAAATCCAAGGGTCGTAACGACAAGTTTTTTAATTTTCACCAATTAAATGTGGAACATTTTAATAATATACACAAACCATTATTCAACAAGCATTGGAAACTAATTCATAAGTTATTCATATCCATAACTAACTTAACTAGTTCTCACAATACCCCCTGGTGAATTGTTTTTATTACAGTCGATTTCAACAAATTTTACACGCTCGAGTTCCGAACCATATTTGCAGATCGACCAGTAGTGGGTGGGGAGATTGCCAATTACTTTAAGGCCCTGTCACACTGTTGCGTATCACATTAGCGTATGGCAGCGTATGATAAATATCACGCATACGCCGGAATACGCTGAAATATGCTGGTGGTACGTCGTGCGTAAGTTATACACGTTCCAAGCACGGTCACATACGCTGGTATACGCCGAGGAAGAAAATTTTTTTTAAGCATGCTTAAAAATCTTGTGCGTGTTTGGACGTATGGTTTATACGGTAAAGATAAGCTAGTCATACGCTGAATACGGCAGAAGGACGCTAAATGTACTGTACTAATAGGTTGAGTACACTAATCATACGCAAATGAGTAAGTGTGCCGTACAACTAACGTGTTGATAGCGCATCAGTAACGAAGGTCTAACTTATGTGTGACATATGTTTAACGTCTATAGAGGGCTTAGCGTATGACTGACGATTAAGTAACGCATTTACCGTACAATTAGCGTATAGTTAACGCCTGGTCGTCGTATCCTCAGCGTATTGCAAACGTTACGAGAAAGGGTACATAAATATATAGCATGTCATTTATTGTGTATAATATATATTTATGTTGGATGCCTTCATATCATCTTGTACCTTCGAGGATAAAGGATGGAGTTAGCTGTTCTTGAATACCAGTTTGATCTCATAGCTTTGACGATTCGTCACATAGAAAATAACAGAAGGAAAAGGAGAAAAAGAAAAAGACGTGAGGTATGGATGAGATCATGGATCGGAAGGCGAAGGGAGTTTGGTATTTACGACCAACTTCTGGTGGAACTCCGAAGCGAGGATACGCGATGTTTCAAGAACTTTATGCGGATGGTCCCCGAGATGTTTGATGAGCTTCTGGCAAGAGTGAGTCCCAGGATTA